TGTGGATAGGACTATCATCGATAGGTCACGTTATTCGTGCCTGAAGCTCATCGGCATCTTGTCCGATGCGCACTCATTTATGCCCCTCATGGATAAAACTCCGATACTAGGGTCTCTTGGGGTATGATTATTAGTGTACTTCATTGGTATGGGCTGCTGAATGGTTCAGGCTCTTGAGTTTAGAGCTGGCTTGAATTCCCTTGATAGGTAGTGTGCTACTTTACCTCTGCAATTGCTGCTACATGCTCGCAGAGATATGGTGGCAATCTCATACATTGGCTCAGGTACATAGAATACACGGGTAAATGAAGTAAATTTCGTAGCTACCTTAGTTCAAATAATAGTCATCAATCTCAGTACAGGCCGAGGCCGATTATAAGGCCTATTCAGATCAGAAACGGGAGGCAAAGCAGTCCATCTATAAGTATAAATCCGAGTATGAAAAACAGGCAGGGTCTGCAGATATAAGCACCTGGAGCGGGAGATAACACTCCTCCCTAGTCGGTGCAGCCGCAGAGGCTGCTATAGATCCCGAAAGGTCAGCATTAGTGTTAAAGGTTTATGACATAATGACTGACGGTAGTGGTTGGTATAGTGCAGCAAATGGGCGATATGACTATCTCAATGAGTCATATGGATATTTTACGGCTGGTGCCAGTACAGGGGCACGTGGGTGGTGGAATAAAACATGGCATACTAAAGCTCTTTCCGCGCAAGGCAGGGACCTCGATTTTTAACTAAACATAATAATAAGAGAATAATTAGAGAGTAAGGAACTATTCTCTAATATTTAGCTTGATATTGTATTCAGTACTAGGTTATTTATTGAAATTAATATTGAAATTCAATGTTGAATTATCTCGATGTGCCATATTTTATTTCACCCACTTGCCAAGCTACTGAGGAAATAGCATGGCTTACATTTCTGAATTGAATATTTTCACGGATTACCGTTGCCGAGATCTAGACAGGGCTGAACTAAGGATGTGCCAGAAACCCAATAACGACGTGCAAGGGCATGGCCACTGAAGATAAACGAGGCAATGACGCTGGGCCCGGCATCGCTCTGCAAATCAGTACTCTAGCCGTTTCTAAAAATGGGGATTGAAGAAGGGATCGCTGGATGGGAGGCAAAAAAGGTGGGCGAAGTGCGAATCCTTTCCGTCTCAGGTCTGGGGCTGACCACCGACTGAGCCACTCTTTTGGCACTTCTGCCTGCTAGAGCTGCACGATTCTGCCACTCTGACAGCCTACTGCAGCGCCCCAACGCCCCTTGGGACTTTGGTCGTCGAATGAGGCGCTTGTCTGGGTGATGCTGCTGCTTTCGTGGCCAGGTTGAAATATGCCGATTGCCCGTGGAGAAGCTCCTTTCTGTCTCACCACGACCCAGATCCTCGCCGTTGTTTCGAAGTCGACTGTGGTGAGACCATCGGCTTAAATCGAGTATCTGCTCCCCGCAATTTGTCAATGTATACCCCGTGGCTATAGGCTGAGCCTGTAAACACTTCGCCCAGAGTTACTATTTTCTCCCCTCGAGTCGCATCTTGCCCTAGCCGAGTAAAGATGGCAAGTCCGAATATTGATGGGCACGACACAGCGTCGTTCCTCAACAAAATGCCCGCATACCAACAGCCTGTGTATCCAGAACCGGCTGCAAGCCAACCACACCGTCAATTCACGTTGGGATCTCTTCGTCCCTCCTGGCCTCGGAGACATAGCTCTACCGAGGAAGCATTGCAAAAGTCCAAGCCGATATCCAAGCGACGTGCGGAATGGAACAGCTTTTTGAGCAGGAAATGGGCTGTCACGTTCGCCGCTGTCACTCTTGTGCAGGCAATCATTTGCCTAAGCTTTGAGGTGTAAGTACGCAATTGCCATCTCTGTAAACCCGTATAGCTTGATTAACAACCATGCTAATACTGTCCGTTCATAGTTACGTTTATGTAAAGCTTGAGTCGAGGCTCAAGCTCGGCATCCAAAATAATGTGAAGAAGCAGGTCGAGATCATCCCGACATTCCTACCCCTCTTCATCTTCGGCTTCCTCTACGAGAATGTCCTCGTGTGGGACGCCCTTCGGGCCAAGAATACGATCCAAATAATGGGAGCCTGCTTTGCCAACTTTGCGCTCGCCATCTACACGGGAATCCAGATCGACCAAGTCTACACGGCACTGGTTCTCGCCAAGGAGAATAACCAATTGCAAAAGCCAATTGATCCCGACAAGGTGTTCAGAGTCACCAAGCCATATCTTTTTACAATTTGCGCTCTCATTAGCACGTCCACAATCATCATGGTGTTTGCTGCCTGGAAACTCTATCAGGAGTTTTCCTGGAGCGTGCTTAAGATTATTGGCGCCGACTACAAGATGAAGAAGCGTTTTCTTTGCTATCAGGTATGGATGGAGGATTTATCTCACACCTCCCCCGATTGATGCGATGATCCTGACCGCTGTCTAGATTTATATTGGATTGCTTAAGTTTGACTTCTTCTTCGTGATCGGATTCATGATTCAGCTCGTCTCAGTCGTCACTAGCCGCAGCGACCCTGAATTCGGTCTGACCATCGCGGCCATGCCCATAACGCTCATCATCCTGGGCGCTGCCGCTTTCTGCACGCGTCGAGAGATTAGATGGGGCATGGTTATTACAATCATCCTCTATCTTGGCGCACTATCTTATTTCATCTTCAAGTCTGCCCGAGTCTTGTCTAATGACAGTATTTGGCAAGAATACTACAAGGCAGTAAGAAAGCCCCTCGCCGCATTCGCCTTGATCACGATTGTTCTCATCGTCATAACCATCATCAACGCAATATATTGTATGCACAACTTCGGCAAGGGGCTTAAAGATTATTTTGGGAAACGAAGCAAGAATGAACCTGATCAAGAGATGGGTTCCCCCGGTCCGGTTAACGAACAGCATCGGATGAGCCGTATAACTATTGAGTGATTTGTTGGATTTCAAAGCGACGGAGAGGCATGATGTAAATGTTGATACCCTTTTATGATTGTATGATGACTTGACGACGATATACGAGACCCAAGAGTTTGGAAACAAATGATAAGCGAAATATGCACTTTCAAGCCGTAATATCGTAGGCGGAAGCCGATGGACTTGAGCTTGGTGTTTATTTCTTTTGTCCATAAAATGGCGATAGGTAAATCTTGCCTTTGTTTATCTCTAATGCCCGCGTTTCTATTGCTATTTTGGAAACCCTGACGACCCGCGAAAAGGGAAATTAGGCAACACACTAAGGTAAGAGAGTTATTATGGTGAGAGGTTGATAGTGGGGGAATGAGGCTGGGAACTCAGTTTTATGGTTCTCATTTCTCTGCTACTATATGACTCTGCCTTCTTCACCTCTCGCGAGCGCCTGTGTACTATTTTGGCCGTGGGCGTGTTTCCCTCTCATCTCGGCGCAACGCGCGTACTCCCTAACCCTATCGAGATGCATTGCTTGTGAGCTTATGCAAGGCTTGTGACGCACAATGGCCTTGGAAATACCAAGACCAAACTTTATTGTTCCCGATCATCTCCCCTCACTCGGGTGGAAAAGATACTCCCGTTGAACATCTACTCGTCGTTCGCAAGCTGGACATGGAGCCCAAAACATGGTGATTCTAAAAATGTTCTATATAACTCAACACGTTTATAGCCCCGTCACGAAAGGGGGTGAAACACTCAGAAGAGAATGGCACTATGAAAGTCCTGATGCTAATGACGAACTCATTCTCACTACCGCCATTTACGCCCAGTGTCTGTGATCTTTCATTAAACCCATACCAAGTAGATCTAAAACATACGAAGTGTGCGATGTTCTTCACCTACCATTGCTGATGCAGATAGATAGAAGACAATATGACGGCAGAACAGTTATCGATATGAAGGCTTACAGAGGTTCCCTTCTGCATGGCTATAGCTTTGAGCTAGCAAAGCTTGTTTTCTTGCCTTGTCTTCGCTGTGTTGAGATGCCGGGCCTGGAACCTTCCTGTTCTGTTTTTTACTTTGTTTTCCAACTCTGACCCGTGTAAGCATTGATCAGTCTGGGTCTCAGAGCCTGTGGTAGCTCTGAAGAGAGAAGGACTGTTGTCTTGAATCTAATTTATCTGCTATGTTTCGATGTCAATAATGAGCCAAGTGAGTTTAGGATGTGTCGATTTCAGCTAGTTATTAAGGTTAGAGTTGCACATAAACCTAGCTCTTCCTCTATTTGCACTATCTTAAGGTTGCTGTGGATGCGATTACGAAATAGGCCCTCCGAAAATAGACGATCCATCGATTGATCGCGTCTAGGGATGAGGCTGGGATTAAATCAAAACCCCTGGCCTATCCTTTCTGGAGTAATCCCAGCCTCCTGGATTCCTCATGCCAAAGGCTCACGGATCGATCATGGTTTCCCTGAGCCAATAGACGCAGGTATAGGTCCCTCTAGATGCAACTTAATGTTTGGAAGTACCTTGTAGAGCTAATTGAAGCATAAGGCTCATGTGCCCTGAGAGTGTTGAGCGTTTTAGACTAAGATCGATCTTGACCAATGGCCTAGTGAACAGGCGGCAGGCCAGATCTGTGTATAGTTATACAAATCAAGGAGCATGCGGCCAATACCGTAGTGGTCACACAGGATGTGATCCATGCTTAGGCAACAGATGCCAAAGCAACTCTTTCTTCGTTCTCGCTCTTCAATTAGTATTGGCTTCATTCTCAATTACTGATTCGTGCTTGCTGCTGCCGTGTTCAGAATACTTCGGCTTAAAGAATATGGAAAACATGAAAACAAAACAAGGTTTCAGACCAAGCCAGTAGCTTGAATGAGAATTATACTTGCTGTTGATCAGTACGCTAACCAGCCTCTCATTTTCAAAGCTATAGCCTCATTGTTCACTTGCTTTGTCGGATATTTGAAGGCCCTCTCGCGTCCTCGCATTTCTTCAACTGATTCGTCACTCAGATCTGCATCATCCCCCCCCCCTCACTAAAATACTGGCATCCAACACATCGAAATGCTGTTCCCCAAATTTGCTGCTGTTTTCGCAGCTTTTGCTGTTGCTGGCACGAGCGCCCAAAAATGCAAATGCCCATCGAACCCTTGCGCTACCGATATCGTCATAAATGGCGATTTTGATGACCCCCTAAGTGGCAAGCCGTGGACATTTGCTCGAATGGAAACCACCACAATCAAACCGAGGAGTTCTCCCCAAGCAGCGTAAGTAACATCTAGTGACCAAGGCCGCCCAAATAGCACTTGTCTGACCGTTCCAGTTTGGCCTCAATCCAAAACGATCAGTTCAAACATTCTATTGAACAACCCATCACCTTGACTCAAGGAAAACAATACACGCTCCGGTATTACTGGGCATTGGTACAAGGCACACTTGATCCCACCGCCAACTGCCAAATCGTTGCCTCAGTCGACACTACAAATACAGACATCAACTCTCTATTAGTTGCTGCACCGAACAAGTATAATGAGCGTGCATTCACTTTTACTGCGGCCGGAACTAGCGATCTTCAGATCAGCGTGCAATGTGTCGAGGCGCCCGCCACTATCAACATCAACATAGACGATGTATCCCTCTATCCGGCCTCTTGCTTAATCATCGAAGACTAAGATAACAAACGCCCAATCCATCTTCATACCAGGGCCTGGAGTGCCATGCCGTATCATATGAATGTGGAGTGGATAAACGCGGGTTGTTGACTTGCCTTCTCAATATTCCTCTCAGCTATTTTCTTGCCATTTAGAGGGCTATATTCAAAACGGATGGGAAGTCAATTCTTAAGTTTGCTTTACTGACACTTTCCAATACTGTTGTAATTGGATACTCCGGCTCTTAGCTGTGGTGAAAAGCGTTGGCAAGACTTGGTGTCCAATTGATAGCTTTGAATACTCGGGGCTCATAATATACCGGTTTCTGAAAGACTATACTGCACTTGCAGTGATGGACTTGCTATTGATGTTTTAAAGTCAGGTAACTTCTCGCTCTCCGGACAATAACGCTCTTTAACCCTCTTAAGAGTAAAAGACTTAGGGTGAGCCCTAATAAATACCATTGCTGTTTCTTCCATAACGCTTTAAAACTTTGCTGGGCGAAGTACCTGCGGTACCGCTCTGCCTACGTGTTACTTTTTCGTTCTGTTTGCGAACTTCTTTCTGGGCTCTGGTATATGACTCACCGAGAATGAGTAAAAGCAGGTAAGATACTTGCCGATATGCAACCCGCTAAATCTGAATTTATGATTGAGTCTCTTTGGAAAGGCATATGAGATCGTTTCTTGAGGAATTGTGACCAATGTAACTTGGGTATGTCATTTTGTGTAGCTTTTCGAATGCTGTATAACGGCCAACCTTGCTGATTCCTGGGGCCCTCAATGTAGGCGAAACAAAGATCCTGTGCTCGTTATCTAGCCCACTAACATATATGAGCGATCTTGGTTTTCTGAATGGATGTTGGGCCGACTAACGGACGCCTTGCTGAATGTGAATAGATGACTGGACGTGGATACCGTACACTCGTTTTAGGTTTCAATTATCTACAGGAAGAAAAGAATAGAAACAAGAGGCACACGAAGTGTAGAGGGTTGTATGATACTACAAGTGGAGTGCTTAGTCAACGCTTCTACTGAGGCAGATGATGGGAAAAAATGCTTCTGAATTTGCATTCCCGCATCAGCCAAAATTGAAGCCACCTTAGCTGCAAGATGTCTCACCAGACACACAACATTCCTTGGAATGTATTCGGCTCCAATCTCAGATTCCGCATCAGAATCCCCTGTGCAGATGACGGGGCCGGTTTGCATTTCCGCTTCAGGCCTACGCAGGGCAAGGAGCTCACACACTTCGTCGATGCTTTCACGCGGAACATCCACCAACATGCAGATTCAGAGCGTCATAAATATCCAAAGGCACATGAAACCCCAAACTCGGATGCCATAGCTCTAGGTGATAGCGTTGCTCGCAAAATCACGCCCGCAGTCCGCCTTTGGCGCTTGGAGAGGCGAGACAAGCTTGGCGAGGTTGACGAGAGCCCAACCAACGAGCTTTGCCATCATTCTGAGCTAGACGAAGAATGTCGCTGCCCTCTTCCATACAATCAAAGAAGGATGGGCTCTTTCCTCCACAAATATAGGTGGTCCGACTGTTACAGGTTCTTTGATGACCACAAGGATGGGTACATTGGTCTTGAGGTGTTTAAAACGCTTCTGATGCACGGTGAGATGGATACGCTCCTCAAGATTTGCGCCCATCCGGACGTTGGATTCCCAAGTTGGTGGGATGCGCAGTTGTGTATGTGCTACCCACGAGACCTTGGCCGGGATTACCTGGAGTATGCGCTGGACGCTTATCTTGTGCTCAACATTTTTCTGTCCTCCTTCCCCGAATCATGGGCCCCTGACCGCTCCTCAGATCAAGACTACCGGCGTACGAGGATATACCAGATGATGATCTTTCGAGTTACAGGAACAAATCAGGCATCCGAGCTGGCTACGCATCCTCATCGTCAGTTCTTTGGCATCGCACGTGGCCAGTTCAACTCGTATTCCGGATTCAAATGTCCCATGACGTCAAAACGAAAAGACAAATTCTCCGGTACGGACCAGCCATATGGCCGCCTAAGCTATGAGGAATTTCTGGAGAGCCAAAAGACAATCGGCTTCCTGCCCTCAGTGTACGACGTCCTGCATGTGCGCTGGGTCTTATGCGAGAAGGGTCTCCCAGTGGAAGTATCCCAACTCATTCTTGACAAAGCGCTATACAGGCCCCAACGCCGACTGAAAGTGCCCCACGACCCTCTTCACCCTGAAAACGCCGAAGAGTTGAACAAATTCCTGAAGTTTTGCTGGCTGGTACTGGTACGGTCTGAAGTTGTGGCGAGAGAAGTCGGTATGACGATCCGGTGGAAGGATTTGCTTTCTGAATCAATCGAGCGTTTACTTGGTTGTTCGTGCAGAAAGCTGCTGGAGTGGGGTGAGCCACCTGATGATGACTTACTGTGGTTTAAATAGAAAATACAGATTGTAAGATCATGCTGTTCGCATGTATTACGAGATGGGCAATGGGACTCCGTTTCTGTTTGCCTCACAATATCGGAGATTCCGTTCTCAGACGCGTAGACGCGAGCTTTTGCATGGACAGAATTAATATTAGGTTTGCCGCAGGACTCTCTCCCTTTACTATGGTCTGGAGTAGATTCATGTTTCTATCATAAGTTTTCTTTCATAGTTTAGTTAATTTGAAGAGGCATGTTCTCATTACATTCTCAATCGAATGCTACTTTACTGGCCCATATATTCCAGCTCTAAAAGTTACACATCTTGTTGTTTCTCAGCCTTCAAGTCTGCTCTGAACTCCTTGTCCTGGAGCTTTCTTGCGACATTCTTTGTCAAGAATTTCTCAAAGTTGGGAACAAGGAAGGCGGCCAACAGCACGATAGCTGAGAAAGGAATCGTCGTGTAGAACACCAGTTTGAATGCGTCCCTGTTTGCAGCTACCAATGCAGCACCCACGGCCTCGGTTACTGTCTCTGTTACACCGGGAACGGCACTGAAGTTCCCTGCTGCGATTCCTTGATATAGTGAGGGGAGCGAGTTTGATGGAAGGCCGGCATCTGTAGCTGCTGGGGCAACATACTCCGGTATCAACTCGGTCAACTTATTTGAGTAGACGGATGTATACAGGGCCTGGGCCACGGCACCCCCAAGACCACGGATTGAGCCGAGTACACCAGTTGCTAAGCCGATATCTTGCGGTTCCCATAACAGGGTGACGCCAGGGTATGTGATGTTCTCAAGATAGCCGACGGCTGTGCAGGCCAGGACGCCAAATGCGATAGTTGCTGCCCAGCGCTCTTCGGACAGAGACGTCAATGATGTCACGAAAGTCATGACGAGAGCCGCCGCAATGATACACTGGATCTTGACCTTGGGGACGTATGAGAGCGCGAAACCGGCCATAGTTTGACCAAGCAGTACGCCACCACCGACAACGGAGCTCTGCCAGCCGATGGACTTGACATCTGTGGTGTAAACAGTCTGTATGATTGTTGGCCACAGAACAGTCATAGAGTAATAAACCATGGATGCAATGGTAGCTGTGGCTATGACGGCCACGAAGCCGATGTTTCTGAACATGCGAGGCGGCATGAGTGGCTGGACATGGCAGAAGAAACCCTCTGTTGAAGTTAGTAAGATAATCATCATCTCGCACGATTTCTGGGGAATATTACTTACCATAAACGAAGAACACAGCGACGAGGGCAATCCCAATGAGGAGAGTACACAATACTTCGGCGCTCTTCCAGGGGTAGGTTGTGCCACCCCAAGACAGACCAACGAGGAAGAGAACACAGCCGGAGACATATAGGGCGATGCCAATCCAATCCAGCTCTTTTGTCTGCTGCATTCGAGTCTTTCCGACATGGAGTTGCTCGAAAGTGGGTGGATGGTAGAGGAAATAATACAGACACAACGTGATGGTGCTGAGGATGATGCCAATGTAGAAGCTCCATCGCCACCCCTGCTGGGTATTTTCGATCAAAGACCGCGCGATGATGGGACCGAAAACGGCGAAAGGCATCGAGGAAAGGAAGACGATGGTGATGATTGGGCCTCGCTTGTCGTTGGGGACCAGCTCACCGAGGACGATTCCAAACGAAAGTTGGCCTGCAGCAGCGATGCCGTTGCATCCCATCCCGACGATCAACATGGCAACATTCTGTGATGCCGCGGCGAGAATGCAGCCGACCAGTCCGAGCCCGGTGGTGCTCATTACCATCCACTTCCGCCCATATAAATCTGATAGTCGACCCACGAAGAGAAATCCAATCGAAGACCCCATGGTCCAGATTGTAGCTGCCCAGCCGATGTTTGGCGAGTTTCCGAGATCCGCGTTGATAAGTGATCTTACATGAGTCAAGTTAGTATAAAGTTAAAGAATGAACTGAGTTTCACATACAGCGTGTTGGCCGGGAGCACCCATCCGAGGTATCCGCAGATACTGGCGAAACATTGTGCCTATCGTCGTTAGAGTTATCTTCAATTGGGGGGGTTTCTTTTCCATACCATGACGGTCCCAATGAACTGAGGGCTGCGGAAGTAGCCTGGTGGCATAACATCCACTTCTCCTCCAAGAGCGTGGGCATCAACATAGTCGATGGTTCCATCAGCGTGGACGACTTTGGCTCTCTCTCCATCGTTTTCGAGAACTTGTGATATGTCGTCGAGAGGCCGTCCATCTTTGGACTCGATATGGCTTGCCGCAGGCCCCTTGGTCTCAGGGCCAGGCGTGGTATCCGATGCCATGTTGTTTGCCAAGACAGATCAAAGGCTAAGGAACAGTATGGCGTTAGAGATTCCCGTAGTAATGTTCTAAGAAACCACTATAGGAAAGCTTGGCTTGAAACGGGGGATGAAGATCACTCGAGTCAAGGGGGATGGCGATTATTTAGTCAACTACGGGACAGGACGTGGAAACACCACGTTTGAGAGTGCCACATGCGCTCCAAGTTGCCTCTTGGTCCCTGCCCATGCGCTAACAAGCCTGTAAGAGTCTAGACGCCCACGTTGAAGCCCCGGATTTAGGTATCCACGATCTAGCCTGAGATCGCCTCCGCATAAACGATGCGGGTGCGGGGATGGGCGCCATTTTGAGGACACCATCAAACGGGCGGACTGTTTCATTGATGCACGCTGCACTCATTGCAGTCGTATCGATGCAACCTGAGATTGCTTGGTAGGCGAGCCAGTGGTCCAACAAGTTTGATCAATATTGACGCTCTATGTAAGAAAGCCCCCGGTGGTGAACAATGCTGGCATTCCAGGAATAAGACCAAGACGGTTTCTTGTACTGGACTGTACCTCTGGCCCGGAAATGCATTAAGCATTTCGGGCAACCCGACTGGTACAAACTCTCTTTTGGATTCTTTAACCGAGTTTGTGAGGCTGGCCAACAGACTTTTTCTCGGCTGTTGCCACTAACCGGCTGCTCTGAGCCAGGTCAAAGTACATCGGCTCTCATCTTCCGACGAGCTTAGGCCATCGAGAACCGCGAGGGAAAACTTCATCCTTGGCACAGCTACATCTGGGCGGGCTACCCGATAGCGATCTGGGACTAATTTCGGCATTTGCCATCTTCTTTCCGGTGCTTCCAGAATCACTTCCATCTATTCTTGATTATGAAACTCGGCACACCTTTTCTCAAGTACGTCGTACCTCGACACGTTCTATGGTCTTCTAGACTACGAAGATATCTTGCTTATCTTGATCAGAAAAGAACGGCTCTGATTTTGAGTTTACTCCCGGCTGTGAGATGTGCATTGTCATACCGTCGAGGAGTCATTTTGCAAGCCGACAAGGAAGTATGCACTGTGAACTACGTGTCAATTGATGTCCATTATTATCTGGAAATGGTCACTGAGCTTTCTGTGATCCGAGAATGACGAAAGCCACAAGTACTGGCGGTATGCAATCGCGGCATGCAATATCTAAGAAAGCTTGAACCGCATCCAAAGCCTCCAAATTTCGAAAACCTCTTCACCGGCTCTATTACGAACCATGCCTAGACTCTCTAAAAAGAGACTTTAGAGCTACATGAAGAGAAATTCTATCCGAATTATGGAATACTGTTTTTTGTCTTCCTAAGAAACGAAACGCTTTTCAAACCAGCCGATTACTTTTCGATCCTATACCCCTCGACGGTGGTAGATGAAGTATCTCGAGACCGTGCGGCGACCGTTACGTCACTGAAGCTGAAATACGCCACTAGTAAGCCATCCTAAATCCATCGATTCGAACAACTGCTGGAACATCATTCTACATAGGAGATTAGGAATTCCTTGTGCCTCTGACGACCTTGAGCATTTAGTGCAACATATCGTAAAGCAAAACCGCGCACAGCAGCCGCATGCTCGCAGCAACACCGTATTAAAGCCCCCCAAGCAGAGTTCAAGTATTAATATAATGCCACGTGCAAACAAACAGAGAGCCTCCAGCCGCTCTACTGCAAGAAGTCTGCGTGATTAGTCCAGTTATGATATGGATACCTCATCATTACTTCCGAGTTGGCTTCATTGGTTCTATGCCCATCGACTCCTAGCCTCGATGAGCTATTTCATGATCAGCATTCTGTGGATTGTTTCTTGAAAACAAGTCATCGAGGGTTAATATAGACTCTTTGTTCTGATGCACAGCAGACGTGTGCTGCGGATGATTCTGATTGATCTCTTTGGAAATAGGATTGAGGTTTTCAACAATTCTTTACATATATTTTCCCGCCTACCGAAGTTGAAATGACATAATCAGCGATCTGGGGAAGACGCATTAAACTGGGCGTCAGTCAATCAGCGATGAGATCATCAGCGAGTTGCGTCATGATTCTCCGCCACCGCGAAGCTCCAATTGCGTCCCACAAACGCCGGAAATGCGGGGCTATAAGTATGAATAATTTCAAGTATACGCAGCACAGAGATGCAAAACACTACGTCAGACCAGTCTGTGCATCTCATGAAGGTAAGTTGATGGCACCGTGACCGTCGCCAGTTGCTAGATCACTGAAACATTGAGTGTCTTTAGGAGAAGGAAAGCGGTTGAAGCAGCAATTAACAAACCGAACCAGCAATTCACAAGCCCATCACCAACCATGTCGTCTTCACCAGAACCACCGTTTCTACCCTTAATCCTTGCAGGCGGGAGAGCGACAAGGATGGGATGTCCCAAGCATCTCCTCTCCACGCCAAACGGAAAGCATCTATACGAGAACCAAATCGAGGTCATCCGCGAGGCGTTCCCTGGAATCACCGAAATCTACATCTCCCTCGCCCAAGACTCCCAATTGGACGACCTCCTGCAGATGGCCTGCTCCGAAAACGGCTGTCTTCTCGAAGGGAACCCTCGCGTCCGGCTCAAAGTCATCTTCGACGAAGAGCGCAACCTGTCAAACGAATCTGCCGGTCCCGCCTCCGGTATATTGGCAGCTGCCAACTTGCGACCGAACACCACGTGGCTCGTTGTTGCGTGTGATTTCCCGTTCCTTACAGCTGACGCTCTAAGGCAGCTGGTGTCACACTACGAACAGCCTGTTACCTGTTTTCGTAACCTTAAAGGGTACTGCGAGCCGCTACTAGGACTCTGGAGTCCACAGGCCCTGGCATCTTTGGCAGACAATCACAAAAAGGGAGTGCTCAGCCCGAGCAGGGTGGTGGACAAGCTTGGAGGACCGATGTTATTGCCCACGCGGGATCCGCAGTGGACGTTATTTAATGTGAATTCAAGAGCAGATTGGACGGCAACTATGAAAGCTTTTAGTTTTGGCCAAGACAGTAGTTCAATTTAGGGGATTCAACGAGCAACATTTCTCACCACCCTGCAAGCACACCAAACATCAAAGCATTATGTGTTCGTGACATGTTCTTATGCAGTAAGTGCATCATTAGGCCTTCTCTGGGAGATAAAACAACTGGACCTCGGGAATATTTATTATTGCTTCGTTCAGTCTCTTGCTTCAGAATTGGTACATGGAGGCTTTGTGAGGAGTCTTGACGGGTACAAGGGACATATCAAGTAGACGAGAGAGAGGCGAGCTACATTACCCATCAGGTTCTAGTGAATGCACGATTTGTCTAGTTGATTCAATATTGCTTGTATAGGAAAGTTTATCCTATTACGAAGATCAATAAATGGTAGATTAGTTGATTCTGATTGGGAATTGCAAAGTAGCCAAGGAAATTGCGTGCTTGTGGGGGGATTGCGACTTTGCTATGAGTATCACGCAAAGCCTAAGAGCATGGGAAAATTTATATAATTGAATAGATCAATACCATTAATTCAGATTAAACTCCGTTCCAATATCTTATTTCTTATACTTACAATGGGGTCATCACCTTCTGATAGTAAACGACTTTATACCGGTCGTTGTGCCTGCGGGACAATCCGCTACTCACTGAATATACGACCGATCCGTATTCATGCCTGTCATTGCCATTACTGCCAGCGAGAAACCGGTTCGGCATTTGCCCTGAACGCCATCTATGAAGCCCAAGCAGTGCGACTTACCACAGCCACAAATCCAGACTATGTGAAAACCCCAACGCAATCTGGGAAAGGACAGACGATTGCACGCTGTCCGAATTGCCGCGTGGCAGTTTGGAGTAGTTACGGTGCACATGCCGGGGAAAGCCTGAGGATAATCAGAGTTGGCACATTGGACGACCCGGTAGGATGGAACTTCGTACCTGATATGCACATCTACACTGCGGACAAGCAACCATGGGTTACTCTGGACCAAAGTGTGCCGTCTGTCGACGGATTCTATGAATTTAAGGACTACTGGCCCAACGACAAACTAGAAAGACTAGCCAAGGCCTTGAAAGGCCATTCTGGCGCGCGATGACCAGGACGTGGTTGGTAGTTGAGGAGGACTGGGCTCGAGCGATATCGTGTTCGCTGCGGGTATATCAGACAGGGCGGGATCTTAGGAAATGTTTCGACGTGGGAAAGAGCGGATGATTCTATTGGGAAAATAAATCACTAGCCGATGGAATCGAAGCAAGTTGAGCAAAGTGGCTCTTTTTTAGGAGTAGTTCAGTTGTGCCGTGTCTAAAATCAGCTGAAGACCACCGTAGCACCATGTGACACCTTAGCTTCCTCTATGACATGTTGGCAGAGTTTGAAAGTTGGTTGTGTTTTTTCCTGTTTGGAGTGAGGATGAGGTGAACCCAGTTTTGCTATCATATGACTGACAATGTGCGTAGGATAAGTCGGAACCAACCGGCTGAAGATTTGCGTTTCAACGTGGATTTGGGGTCGCTGTTTGTAAAAGGCGCATGGAATGACTGGTGCATGATTTAAGCTTAGACGTGATGAGTGTGTTGCATCTTTTCGTTTGATAGCTCCTGTTTGGGGAACGGGATATGCACATGAAATGTGAGTGTTGTTCTTTTGCTACTTTGAATGAGAGCCAGCCACCAGCACACCAACACGTCAGCTTCATTCTATCTACTAACGTCACACAAATTGCCTTGATTTAAGTGTAATCATCCCTCTTTCGTTTAGTTTAACAATGCAGAAGCTAATGGTGTTGCTGACTGCAGCTCACTTTCAGCTGCGGGGCCATGATCACATTGGTTGGTTGCAGTTTCTCGAGGCAACCAACAAGTGAAGCGATCTATACGAATGAGGATGCAAGGCGCTCTTTATCACGTGTTTGAGGCTGCTAGGCAGACGCAATGAAGCGATATAAACGCGGGGTCATCCGCACGTTGGGCAGGATGAGATATACCTCAAAGTTCATCCTGTCCATCGATTTTTCATTTAGTCGACAAGCACAATAGATTACCCATCACTTGATAACCAAACAGACGATTAATATGGTTCTTTCGGATGCTAATGGCAACGATTCTGTCCCTACCCTATCGGGCCATGTGGTCACCAAGATCTTTAGGCACGACTGCCAGGCGCGCCAATGTCCAAGCAGATGGTCCATCAGAGACAATCATCACGATGAAGAGAAGGTTCTCTTTGATGCCATAGCCACAGATCCAATAGTTCACCGCCACTATCTAAATGGCAAGAAATGGTTGACCGATTCCTTTACTATCCAAAGTCCGGAAATGAGAGCATTTTTGAAAAGCGCTCTAGCCAACTATCAGGACTTCGACCCCAGTCTCGACGGTTGGACCTTTAGGAGCCCTTACAAGGCACTCGTCCATCGAAGGGACCGCATTCTTGAGCTGTCCAAATCAATACCCAAAGAAACCGAACAATCGGTCAACTCTCTTGTGAAATTTCTGCACCCAATCTTGGAGTTTTATATTCAAGCGCAGGCGAATATAAACAAGACTGGGCAAATACCCTTCGCCGATATTTGGTAGATTTTCCCACCTGGTGAACTGGTGATGACGACCTTGTACGGTGTTGAAATCATGTGCCGTGTCACCCGTTATGGGTTTTCCAGGCATGGGAACTTTTGGACCATCAAGCTCCAATACGTGGACTGGAATGGCCAGAAGTGTGGCTTCGCCAAGGCCGTCATCGATATAAGTTTCTACGCAGGAGAACGCCATGTGACATCTCTGCCCGTGTATCCTGTCAAGTTTTGCGAGTCTATGGAAGAGACCAAGGGGCGACTGCTTAAGCGGGGGCGCTTGTTTGAAGCCCTCCGCGGCTATCATTTCAAGTCTTGTACGGGTACACAAGTCCTTTTGGAAGAGGCGCTGAACGAAGAACGACCGGTAAGTCTGATTTTTTCAACCAAGATACCCGTGCTATAAGTGACGCATATACATCCGATATTCTTATCCTTCATCTATACTGATAACTCGTTTTACTAGATTTCGGGAAGAGTGATTATAGATACGCATACTTACTATCAGTCTCGCAACAGGAAGCACCCTAGTCTTGGGTCTTTGGAATCTGAATCGCCTTCAGATAATCCCAAGTTGCTTGAAGGTAGTCAGGATACGGCAAGGCAAACCATCAGGGACAGGAATCCAGCAGTTCCGCCTTCTTACCATGACAACAACCAGGGGGATCTCGTTCCGTACAACGGCCATGACGGGAACCCTTTTGCCCCGCCACACCAGCCCAACTCCTACTTCACACCTCCGCCTGACATGCAAGGTCCAGGGCCTGAACCAATCTCGAACTATGGCCCGAATGGACCGTATCATTCATCGTACCCAGCTCAATCTTCTTACCCAACTCGGCCTCCTCCCTCCCATCGTCGTCGTCCTATAGCTCCGGCACCCCAAAATCATTATCCCCACATCAGCCCTGAACAGCCACGAGGGGGCCACTACCCGGAGCGTCGAAACTCTTTTACCTCCGAGTCCGATTATACCGACGATGAAGGACATCCCGGGCCACAATACAATACAGGCGGGTCACTCCCTGCCGGTCCCAGAAGGGGCTATGTAACCACCGATACAAGAAATAGGATAACAGCAAGCATCGAAGCTAGATCCGAGAATCTGGATCGGCTCACAGATGAGCAATGCATGTTGACCACGCCTTGGGTCATCGGACTGGACATGAACACAAAGCTGTGGAGTAGGTTACCTTCAGCTGCACCGGACTCCCACTTCTATGCCTGCTAACAATCTATCCATAGGCAAATTCCGTGTTGATGAACTTGAGCCCATTGATTGGAACGACGAATCTTACGAGAATCTCATCCTCCCGGAAAAGGAGAAGGAGCTTGCCTGGGCGTTTGTGAAGAACAAGGCGTTGGCCGACAGCACCAAGTTTGAGGATTTCATCAAGGATAAAGGTTTATCTCCTTAATCTAAATTCAATAGCCACTGACACAAAACTAATTTGTCCCATAGGGCGCGGCATAATTATTCTTATGTTCGGACCTCCTGGCGTGGGCAAGTCATACACGGCTGAAGCGGGTAAGTGCATGATTCTTAGGTCGGCAAGCCAAGGTAGCTGACAATATTGTCCCTAGTCGCCGAAAGAGCTCGCGTGCCGCTCTATACAATGAGCGCAGCAACATTGGGAACCAACCCTAAACGTGTCGGGGACTGTTTGGAATACGCGCTCAATCTATGCCGGGCTTGGAATGCCATGCTCTTCTTGGATGAGGCAGATGTCTTCCTTGGCTCTCGATCTGATGCTGATCTAACCCGTAACGAGCTTGTTGCCGGTGAGTGCCCTTCGCGTTCTCTCTAGAGCGTGACCTGGAACTAATGCTAGAGATAGTGTTCCTCACAAAGCTTGAGTACTACCAAGGCATATGCTTCATGACCACAAATCGGATGTCAAGTATTGACCTCGCAATGCAGTCTCGTGTTGATCTATTCCTCCGCTACGGGGACCTCACTCAGGAGACACGGTACTGCGTGTGGAAGAACTTCATTTCTGGGGCCTGTGCTACGCGATTTGATATCAGCGATGAGGACCTGGACAAGCTCTCCAAGTATAAGCTCAACGGCCGAGAGATCAAGAACCTTGTCAAGACAGCACATCTGTTGAGTCTTGGCAATGTCGAGGGGAAGATCAGCTTGAAGACATTATGTATGCTTGCTGACAACCGTATCCAAGCACTGGAGACTCTCAAGGGAGCATGATGGGTTAAAGAGTACTAACTTTCCGTTCTGCTTCTTCGTTCGCTTGAGCATGCTTGAAGGAGAGCTTTAGCTCTGATCATGGATGCTCAATCGGCTACTTCGCTCATGCCTAACATTTTGAACCCCTTTTCGGTGGATTCATCCCTCACTGAGTAATGAAATTTTGACTTAATCATGTCCATGTCAATCGCATAACTGCCAGGGCAAAGGATAAGTTGTATAACCTTCAGATTCATTGTTATTAATCAAATCGAGATACAGTGGCGTCAAAGTACATCCGTAGTTTTCCTACCTTTCCATGGGTAGATCACGCAGTGTCCTATCTTACGTGGGTGCACAAAAGGCCAAAGCCATAAGCACAAGGAGGATTTGATTAACGGCTCGACTGGAGCAAGCAACCTGCACATTGGCTTGATTTGACCTTCAGCTTTTAGCAATTGTTTCAAACAATCCCTCTATCGACCATAGATATTCCAGTATGGGTTAGATGATTAGCATAATACCGAAGCAGGAAAAAGAACTTCATCACAAGAGGGAGTTTCGGTCTAATCCTTACGTCATTCCTTTAGTCACATTCCGAGGAAGATGGGGCAACAAAAGGACAGCCGAGGGTTACCCCGAGTCTCTTTATAGCCTCCTGCGTTTATTATGATCTCTTCTGGGAATATGGTACTTCTTATGTTACTGGTCTGTCGTTAGAGTTACGGGAGGATATTGATTCATTTGGTTCAATGAAGGATTGGGCAGAGGCGTCATGCTTGTTCACTGTACGCACGCCCATAACAAGAAATCCAAATTAAGAATCGCAGTAAAGGTATGTCCAATCATGTGGCCCTGGGGAGCAAGTTCATACAGACAGTTCTAGCACTCTGTGAAACATTCACATTTGAGGAAGAGGCGGGATCAGAGATTGTCTCTGATAGCGTTGGATTCGCAAGATGATTAGTTTGATTCTGCTCATCATGTCCTTGAAGAACGAAGCACACATGTGATAACCACTGATGACACATTGTATGTGGATGAATATGCTATTGCACTTTTTGTGTCATTGAATCATGTAGCTGCCCAGACTTCACAGCCGAGATTGGGTCAGAAGTGTTGATGCTTGTGTAATCTTGGTGTATACCCACTCCAAGTCCTTATAAAGAGCCCCTGGGGAGATTCCGATTGGAACAAATGTGCGGAAGGGCGGAGTGCGGTTCTACGACAAGTCTTTTGATAGCACGCATTGTGATGCAACGTTTAGGGGAAAGTTGGAGAGATGCAGCCTCTGGTTCGACAAATTTAGCCCGCAGGACGCGCTTCTGACGTTATTACCAAATAGTTCTGGATTTCAAGAGAAACCCCGCCAGATCTGCTGACCGGGACCGAGCTTGGCCACCTCCCAGCTACATCACCAGTGTTGTGCTTACTACCACATGCAGTGCCCCCTCGGTGAATGAGAATGTACAATTGAGACATATTACGGCCTTATATCTCGTGACAATTCGATGAATTTTCTGTTTTTAATTGCTATTACTATTAGCTTAATTTGAGCAAGATAATATTCTCCATTCTGGGCAAATATCACCAACGATATTGTTGTGTCTTGATCATCGTGTTTGTCATTCAAGTATCTTTCCGGGAGAAACCTTACACACTCCTAATAGTAAGCAATAGGCAGGTCGTAAAAACGTCAGATTTCACACACCACAATCTTGAGCACTGTTTGAGAAGTCTTATGCAGCGGTGTGTCCTCAGCTTCATTAGACGAGTGATATGGCAATTAGGTTGTAGCGAAGTAAGCCATCAATGGGAAATCACGTCATCCTAGGGGACTTTGAGGGTTGGCTTTCCAGGATTTCGTCAAGTGACCATTGGATTGGCTTTCGGTAAGCTCTTTCAGGCTGACGCCGAAGACCAGAGTTGTACTTTGAAGCGGGGGCTGGGAATGTGAAATTCCGCACAGCCTTACCGAAGTTCCTAGCTATTTTCCGTCATCAGTGGCCTAAGGAGATATTCTACGTGAAGGAGACTATAAGAAGGTGTGATATCCCTTGCTCCTACAACATCTCAAGAACTTGTCTTCAACAATTTCATTTGATCCACTTAGACATATTGAACAACCCACTCTCTTCAACATACCCTCACGATGCTCGTTAATCCTGTCAACACAGCTGCTCTAGTTGCGGTCTTCGCGACCGTAATTGATGCAGCAGTTTATATTGGAGAGACCGAGATCGCTGCTCCACCCGAAGCGGCCCTTCGGACCCTGTGGGCTGAGGAGATTGATGATGCCCGCCCCCCTCCCCCCGAAGCAGCGTTGAGGCCGCTATGGGTTGAAGGAGATGTCCCTACTCGACCTGCCTCAGTTGTGATCTTGCCAACTGACATCGAGAACGACCCGAATCTTGAATTGAGAGATGATGATGTCGATGCTCTCGCTGCGATCGCCGACAAGTATACATTCTGGCAAGGCAACGGAGCAAACTGGCCAAAGAAGGCCGCTTGGGGCAGCTTCAGCCAGCTTTGGAACGCCAACCTCCCCATCATTCGTAAATCTTGCGGCTGGAACAATTGGGGGGCGGATAACAGTGCCACGGAGATCAGCAACTTGCAGAAGGCTATTAATCAGGTCGCAGGCGAAGCTAAGATCGAGCCTCGCTTCATCCTCTCAATCGTTATGCAAGAGTCTGGTGGCTGTGTCCGCGTTCCTACCACCAACAACGGTGTCCGCAACCCTGGGTTGATGCAATCCCACAATGGCGCTGGAACTTGTGCTGGCAAGAACCCTTGCCCTAATGCCCAGATCTTGCAGATGATTCGCGATGGAACATCTGGTACTAAGGCCGGTGATGGCATCAAGCAGTGTCTTGCCAAGACGTCCAAGGTTGTTACCAACGCTCCACACAGAGCTGTGTTTGCCGCTGCTCGTCTATACAACAGCGGCTCCGTCGACTACAACAACCTCAACAACCCATTCACTGCTACCAAGTGCTATTCTTGTGATGTGGCTAACCGCCTCACTGGATGGACTCTTGCTGCTAGGAAGTGCTCTTAAACACACCGTGGGGCATACATGGTCTAAGAAGTCTTCAAGTTATCGATCGGTCGTTTCATTCTTCCAAGTACTCCATCTAGATTGGTAGTCTAGCTTTGAATATCATTACCTTCTCCTCTGGTTCTATTTTTTGCCTTCTAAAAACCAGCTGATGTCGAATCTCTTGTATCCAAGACACCATGAGACAATTAGCCTTTTGATACATCATAAGCCGTCGCAAATATTTGTAAGTGACCTAGATGAGGGCATTAAAAAGAGCCTTGCGTTCTTGTTCAGACCTATAGAGATTTCCACTTCCAACTGCTCCATTCCTGTAACCGTTCATCGTCCCAGTTGGTCAAGTCGAGCTCTTTTCGGCCCTCTTCATCAGCCACTAGCCCCAGAAGCTCCATTTTCTCCCAAAATTCTCTAATGTGGTCCAAATATGCTACCCTCAAAGGGTGGCAAATAATAGCTCTAGCGTGAGGCGCTCGTCGCAGGCATTTCGCAATAGTATCCGAGAGCAACTCAGGATGATCCTCAGTGTACATAGTGTCAGCGGCAAGGATGACTGAGAAACCGCCCTTGGTGCTCACGGACTTCGTCGTCCCGTCTGGTTGACTGATATGAACCACTTCCGGAGAATTCCAGTCCAGCGCACCACAAGCGACCTTGATGTTCCCGGCTTTGAGCATATCCTCGTTAAGGTCAATGTTCATTTGTAGACCCGGTACAATGCCAGGAAGTTCAGTGAGCAATGCATTTCCGCCCCAGATCACTGCGGCGCTGAGCCCGGTGAGGCCCGTGCCAGCACCGAGCTCGAGAATGGAGTATTCGTCCTGCCCGTCTTCTCGCAGTTTCCCAGCGTCAACTTTCAGGCTGTACAGTGTATCTGACAGTACGAAAGACGATGCCCATGTTGTCAAGGGTAGGTTCTCAGCCTCGCAGCGGGCTTCGGCTATCTTGATTGAGACCTTCTCGGTCTCATTCTTCTGAATTTCGTATGAACGGTGTGGCGTTGACATCTTGAAGTTCGTATCAAGTGACAAGAATGCCTTGGGTAAAATAATACGTAGAAACGAAGCCGAAGACACAACTCGATATTTTTTTGCACAGCAATGTCAGGGATGGAAATTTGTGTTTTGTGCAGCAGAAAGAAGCTAATCCTGAATTGATGATACAACCCTAAACTCAAAAAGGATAAGATTTCTGATCCACTTTCTGTGTAAAGCGTTCCCAAATATGTCCAAGTAAATGAAAGCTACCCTATATCAAAGGACCTACAATCCACGTTACCGCGACTATCTTTAGCAGCGTAGGAGCACCTAATATTATAGAGTAATTCAAGACTAATAGATTGTAATGGCCTGATATCGGGGCTTTAAAAATAAGGACTCTAAGAAGATAATAGTTGTTAGAGCCCATCTTCGGATACCTGTATGAAGACGCGCTTGACGAAAATAACATTAATCATGCAACCGAGCATCAGGAATAATTCAAATCCAAATTCGCTAAACAAGTTCCAGGCAATGTTATCGAACAGCAGCCACGCCCAGATGCGCTAATGATGAATAAGCCTACATACGTGGAAAGCATCAAAGACGGAGGAGGTTTCATAGTGGCGGATAAACTTTGCCGTCAGCAAGTGGCGCGAAGGTCCAATAGCATGATTCACTACCTGGAATTTTCTTTGGTAATGAGTTCACTAGGAACTTGTAGCCCGCTTTCACGCTTTGGGCTCTCAATTGTTTCGTCTTCGTGATGATGACACTGAAAAAGACTCCCGGCTAGCTTCTGATAACTCTCAAGCGGATATCGTTTATCGGAAGAGTGCGCATTCTCCCCTATACTTGCATAACTGGAACATATATCGTGATTTCAGTCTGAGTTCTATTTCGCTTCGAACTTCTCTTGTACTAATACAAGTGGCTTGAATACATTATGAAATCGGACGCATTACCTAAGTGGAAAGACTTGCCACCCATCGAAGGGCAACCGTAAGGCGTGGCTGAACGTGATTATCCCAAGACATCGATACTGACTACCTGTAGCCAAGGCTTCGCTTGGGGATTATCCGATCAAAATGGTGTGAAAGATCAGCTCGGAACGCTTAACTTCCTCACCCCGGAGGTCGTCCTTCGCGCCAAAGATGAAATACAAATCGGAAAGAGTGTTTCTCTTAATTGGGGACTGGAAAATTTGGCCGAGTCAACCATGGGTCGGTCTACCTTGAAGCATGAGCTTGTGGATTGGCGTAATAAGCCAGGCTTTAGTTTTTATTCCTGGGATGATGAAATCAGTTTCAATACCCAAAGCAGTAGGCATAATCAGTTCTGACGCTGGGTAACATGTACTGCGTTTCTAATGAGAATTTATCCTAGGCAGCCAGTGGGACGGACTGCGTGAGTAATTGCGCGAAATGGTTCGAATTAATGCTGATACAGTTCAGGCCACTGGGGGAACACACACACAGGATTCTATTACAATGGCTTACACCACAATGACCTTATCCAAAGCAACCAGCTTGGGATAGAAAGTGAGTAGCTTTGAGGATTGTGTTGAGCGACGCAGAGTGGGAGACTGACTTGCCTAAATATTGGACTAAGCATGGTGGTATTGTCGGCCGCGGCGTTCTACTCGACTACGTGGAATATGCAAAGCGAAAAGATATAAAATATAGTCCCATGTCAAGTCATGCAATTCTTGTTAAAGAGCTCGATGAAATTGCCAAGGATTGTGGGATCGAATTTCTTCCCGGCGATATTCTGCTAGTTCGAGTGGGCTGGACCAAGTGGTACGACGAACACGAAGACAGCGACCGATCTAAGTACATTACCAACGCGTATGCCTGGGCCGGTATCAAAGGATGCGAGGAAACTCTAGAATGGTTGTGGGACCATCACTTCGCGGCCGTCGCAAGTGACAACAATGGTGTTGAGGTTGTCCCAATGGATGATGCTTGGCGTGAGTATGTTCTATTATTGTATCATGTACTACAGACTGACGGTCAGCATTCAGGTTTGCATGACTTCTTGCTCCCAGGCTGGGGGATGCCTATGGGTGAAATGTGGGATCTTGAAGATTTGGCCAAAGAATGTAAAAAGCAAGGTCGATGGACATTCTTCCTCACCAGTTCCCCTCTTAACTTACAAGGCGGCGCGGCAAGCCCACCCAATGCCATTGCGATCTTCTGATGAATTGTCTACAGATTTCAATATCAAAGTACTTCATAATAGGATGTCTGTCAGGGTGGAAATATTTCAATTCTTTTAAAGAAACACATAGGAGTGCACCTGTTTTGACTATCTAGTATCCAAGAAGAACATCAATTTGTAACAACTGGCTTTCTAAGTCATTCTGCTACCCGAAGTCACGGTCATGGTGAAATGTGCTTATGCCAGGCTGTTGATCCAGGTGTTGAACTTGCCAATACGCGTGTAGACACCGGGATAAGCAGCTTGGGCGCATCCATTGCCCCAAGAAACGACGCCGGTGAGAGTACCAGAGCTGTCAACAATGGGGCCACCGCTATCTCCGCTGCAGGAGTCCTTTCCACCTGAAGTAACACCGGCACACCACATGGCGTCAGTGACAGCGCCGGAACCGTAGTCTGCTTGGCAAGTGGAGCGGGAGATGACGGGGACGGAAACCTTCCTTAGGGTGGTAGGTAAGGTTGTGCCAGTCTCGGATGTCAGACCCCTACAAGTGCGTTGTTTATTAGAATAGGTTAAGGGTTAATGAGGGGTCTAGAGACACATACCAGCCAGCAACAGTCATGGTAGTACCAGCTGAAGGGTCAGAGCCCTGGGCCGCGAGCTTGGCGTATTTGATAGTAGAGCTGGTCTCAGCAATGCTGGTCGAGAGCTTCCAGACGGCAATGTCATTGTAGGGAATGTCATTGGAAACGTAATAGTCGGGGTGGACGGTGATGGAAGAGACACCGACTTGTGTGCCTCCGGAAGACCGGTTCTGTTGACCAAGAAGTTTAGTTACCGCACGTCTATAAACGACAAGAGAATTTGTTGCTTTTGGGAATAACCGGTGGCAGTCAGATGGGCTCAACTTACAAGGCTTCCGGCGCGGACCTTGACAGAGGAAGCGCTATAGTCAGAGCAGTGGCCGGCTGTCACAACAGTGTTTGCGTTCAGCAAAACACCGCCGCAGAAGTGCGAACTACTTCTAGACAGACTAACAATGTAGGGGAACTCGCCAGAACTGGCTGTTGTTCCACCAACGATGTTAATGCCAACGTCGGCCGGGGCCGGGGCCGGGGCCGGGGCAGCAACTGCCATGCCTGCTAGTGGCACCAGGAGCGCGGCCTTGAGCGACATTTGGGGAGCCATTGTTGCTTCTGTTGGATTGAGGACGGCGGGCGGGAGAGTTGATGGTTTGGCTTATTTGTTCTGAAGAGGTCGGCGACGAAGCTATTATTTATATTCGAAGTGCTAGTTCGCTATCAACATCTACTTCCTATTTGATCATTCTACAAATGTCATCAATTCCCTCTCCGGAACTGCTGATGGCTCCGTTGAAATGGGGCGATGATGCCGCAATCCCTAGATGAAGGCATCCTCGGCCCACTTGTCGATGACAGCCTAACGCTGCTCTTTTGTGATGATAAAACTCCGGGACCTTTGTTATTTGGATAGACGCTTCCTAGTTGATTCATTCTCCTCCCTAAAACGGGTGGGTTGCCCGGGCTTTGGCGATACGAGCTCATCAACGTAGTCTACATCTAGCCAGAAACATGAAAGCTGCCGGTTAGCGGCAGTCTTTCATAACCTATGAAGTTCTTGGCATTAAACATGGAGGCTGAAAGAAGGATTGAGGCTGTCTCATCCAATGGTAAAGCCACGAATGCTTCAACGGCTGTTCAACCAATAAAAAGACATTGGGAATAGCTCAAGGCGCCATTTTGGTCGATTGGTTCATGCCTTCTTACTGTGCCCACTTTGGACTTCGCCGTTATGCGATGATCACTGGCAATGTTGCCGTTATGATTGGAGCATTTGGCGTCTAGCTTTTGTCTCACTTTAGGAAGGAGACTTGGCGCGCGTGATGAGATTGCCACATATCTCGATTAACGGCAGTCTTACAGCTGTTCTCGATTAATTCAGACCGTGGGTTGAGCCAGCAAAAGTGAAGACCTGCTCAAATGGAATAAGTCGACGACTCCACTCCGACTGGTACAGTACATGTGCTCCAGTACTCACAAGTAGCTTCTAAAGTCTAGACTACTGCGGACTTTCAAACTCCTTCCTCTTGCAGATCGGCACGCTCTCACATATTTCTGAAATTGGAAGAGTGTGGGCCAGGCACTAGGGTGGGTTGCCGCAAGATTACAACGATGTAACACTGATCTTTTGGCCGTTGCTGATTTATGCATACAAATTAAGTAGAAGGAAGGTTCGGTAAGTGGAGGAGTGAGTATAAGACTAAAAATGTAGCGGGGAGACTTACAAAAGTGCTCTGGGATTATGGTGGCGTCTTAACGATGGCATAGGCAAAAGATAACAGCGTTTTGGAACCACAGCTTCATTCATGATCCATGCCAAGCATCCACATCAGCACATAAACGAGCGCGACCCCGGCCACGAGACGGATGCTCCAGTTACTAATCGTATTTTAGCAGCCGGATATCATTGCCAACCGGGGATAACTCTGCTTGCGAAAACCGGTGAGCCCCGGTAGCTCCTGATTCGCCCGCTTGTAAAATTGAATGTATCAAAGGGGCTCTGTAGAGAGCCAATTATGTCACAAAAGCCATTTGGTTTGTTCTTGACCTATCTTGCAGGCATCATCCATCGATCTGCCGATGTCGTATCGGATGATTGGATTCTTGAATCAGCGTTGTACGTAGGGCTGTGCGCGTTGTTACATCCCCCCTTTCCTCCAGGGATCGCGGTGACTTGTATGATGTTTACAGCTTCTGCGTATTTGATAGCCCCTGATAGCCTCGGTCCCCTCATCAAGCTGCAGACGTTATGCGGAAGGGATTATCCGCTTGGACTAATATACAACTCCCAATCCACTAAGATTTTCAGATGGTCACTGTTTGATCTGTTGTTCATTGATTACCCCTCAACCATGTTCAGAAGTTGCCTAGGTACAAAGTACGTGATTGTGTAATAGTTACACTTGACATAGCTTGCCTTACTGCCAATCATTCCTTCATCCAAACCCTCTATTGACAATATCACTCCACTCAGGCAAGTATAGCATTTCTGGGGCAATGGAATTCCCAAAGGCAAAATCTCCATCTTGCCATTCGACTTCGGCGTCTTGGTACATCCCTATCAGGTGATTTAGCATTCTGGGCATGTCTAATGCGTCTGATGCGGGGAAGCTCTTATTGTCATGCCTTGGTATTGGTACATGGGATGGCAGCAAGGATTCCGACCGGTCATGAGAAACAGATACATCTGCCACCCCTTCCATGCTATCATTGTCAGTCGTATGGTTTTGATGATCAGCCGAAGTGCCTCCTGCATTCATTTCGGCTTCTGATGCTTGGCGCTGTAACCAAAGCAAGCATCTCCAAATGTTGCTTTTACTGGAGTTATAGTCATGTAAGCCATTGGATATTGTACCAAAGGTTTTGTTAACGAGGACTCGTGCTTCTTTTGTCCCGGGCCTGGAAGGGAATGCGCACAAATATCTCAAAACATAGGCCAGTGCATACCACTGGGTATAAGCTTTGAAGACCCAGACAAACTTGGGAGAAATTTCGCCGCTCACGAGAGACCATCCCTTCCTGAGTGTGTCGCAGGCTGATCTGAAGGGCTTTTCGCTGAGGCCTTGGTGAACCGCGCGAGGACATGCTCGATGGTTGTTGACGTGGAGATCCTCTCTTACTTGAAGCATGAAAACCATCTTTGACGAGGCGGCATAATAATGACTCGAGGCTGCTTTTTGTAGTGTAGAACAGATGCCTTTAGGGAAGAATCTCTTTTCAATCGACGCGCTGTGACTGTCAATGATCTTTCTCTTCTCCGCGAGCTCCTGTAGAATGTCGACATTTCTCGTTCTCTCCCCTAGCACCTGGTGCAGTAGCCTAGCAACCTCGAGTTGCATAATGCCAAAGCTAGTTTCTGTCCAGCCCTCGGCATCCTGTGGAAGCTTCTGCATTGCCGGAAACAACTGGTTGTCATCGATGTTGAGAGGGAGCCTCAAGTCGTGGTTGAAGCTCTCTATCCTTGCAAATCCGTGATCCTCAGGTGCTCTGGAATCTAGTAAACAAAGATGCCACCAAAGACGAAGCCTAATCTCGCTTTCAAATGGGCTTAACCGCAAGGACGCCCCCTCTCTGTGAATTCCGATCGACTGCGCCAGCCTTATTGTGGTTCCAATCAGGATCCAGACGGTCCGGCTGTTATCGTGGACTCGCAAACTGGTCTATTAAACATCTGTAATTAGCTGGCTGTGGTGGCTCAGGTTGGAGGACTTCAGCTCACAGCAAAAATGGCGAGAGCCTGGAGGACGGTCAAATCTGGCTCATTGAACAGTTGACCCTCTGTGACAACTTGATTGATCCCCTTTTTGTATTTCTGGAGCATTTCTTCCCGATCTTCTGTTGTCAAGTGTGGAAGTTGGTCTTCAGATAAGCTGGTCACAGAAGCAAAGTACACTGCAAAAGCTAGCGCGCTCATAGAGTAACTATGAGGCTGTGATCGAGATATCACATTAATCATGGCCGATTGCATGGTGGGAATATGGAGGATCTTGAGAACGGGATCTACATTCTCAATGTACGTCGTCCATAGTATCAACGCCAGCTGGGTATCAGGGTAAAACTGATGCCAATCTCCGTTGTTATCTGTAACGACAGATGGAAGTCCTACAGTAAGGTTCAGGGTACGACCTCGTTTTGAGGCGACCCGTTGAGATGGCTGGATTTCGGGCGGATTGATTCGATCTTCCTATTGCCTTATTAATAAGACTGTCCTCAATCCACTTCGGAGTAACAGATTTGATCAGAAAAGTTCTTACATCTTGAAAAAGGTCCAGTAAATTTGTGTTGTCCACATATTGAATCCTCTTCCCATCTGTGACAAGTGTTTCCCAGGGCCTTCTGACAGGAGGTGGATTGGCAGATGTTTGAGGAACCTCATCCAGACCCTTTGTAGGAACCGATTTTTGGATACTGACTCTCTCCTTGTTCAGTACCTCAAGTAGGAGTGCTTCCACTCTTTCTAATCGATCAGTCACGTCTTGTAAGGACGGCGGCTTCCTCGGAGCTTCCTGGGCCGAAGTCTCTGGATATTGGCATGTGGAGCCGTGCCGGACGCAATTAGAACAAGGCTCTTTGCGGTCACAGCGAACCTTTCGGCGGTGACAAATGATGCAGGACCGAGATGTCTGGCCGAGCGCCGAGGACTCAGGGAGTGGGGATTTTCGGCGAGAAGTTTTCGCTATACCATGGTGTTGCGTACGCCGCATGTTTCACTCCCTCGTTCAACGATGCGCCATACCTATGAAGTCACTATCCAGGAAAGAGCTGCAGGTTTGATAGCATCATGTGTGCTCGGGAGGCTAGGACAAGAGGTCTTTGTCGAAGGGAAATGTCCAGAACCAGCCTCGGGCCCCTCGGCGCCGAGTCTTCCGACGGCGTCTTGAAGCCACTCACTAATGTAACCGCGCTATTCTCCAGAAGTTTTAGGCCTAATAACGTCATCTAGTCTTCACGTAACTGCAAGGATAACATCCTAGCCCTCACAATAAGGTGGACTTGCGGAGCTGCTCATCTCGGCGGCTGTGCGCCGAGGCCGCCGAACATTGGTAGTATATTCACCCAAGCCTATCGAAGACATGTCTCTCATTCAATCTTCTTTATGGGTAATACTTTGGATAATAGAGACAATCTTCAAGTTACGGAACCAATGTCTCGAGCCTCATTCTCAGATGACAGTCATGAAACCGCCGTATCAAGCCCTCCGTCTCCGGATAGGCCAAAACTTGACAATGAAGATAACAACGAGTTGGTTCCCGAGGGCGGCTATGGTTGGGTTTGCGTTATTGCCTCTTCTCTGATTAGCGCTCATACATGGGGCATCAATAGCGTATGTGTATTCGTTGCATTTCACCAAAAGACTCCTTATATTAACATGTACCAGGCATATGGAGTTATTCTGGCTCACTACCTTTCAAATGACACTTTCCCGGGAACAAGTGCTCTTGAATATGCCCTTGTCGGAGGTCTGAGCATTGGCTGCGCGATGCTCGTCTCACCAATTGTCACTATAATTGTGCATCACTACGGCATCCATGTCGCGCTCGTTATCGGAGCTATCCTCGAATCCATATCGTTTGTGGCTTCTTCTTTCGCAAAACAGAGCTGGCAATTGTTTCTATCGCAGGGTCTCTGCTTTGGATTAGGCATGGGTTTCTGTTTCGTTGGATCCGTTGGTGTCGTCTCGCATTGGTTCCATAAGCGCCGCAGTTTGGTCAACGGCATCACGGCGGCGGGTGCCGGGCTCGGAGGGCTTGTGTACTCGCTTGCAGCTGGCTCGATGCTAATACAATTAGGGTTTGCTTGGACGATGCGGATTCTAGGCATTGTTTGTTTGGTCGTGAATCTCATTTCCGGGAGTCTCCTGCGCATCCCTCCATCAAGCAGACCAGATGGAAATGCGTCTGCCTTTGGATTATCAGCCATGCGAGACACCCGATTCATTCTTCTGCTTATCTGGGGTGTCCTAAGCGTGCTTGCCTATGTCGCTTTATTGTTTAGTTTGTCAAGTTACAGCGTCGCGGTCGGCCTGACCCAAAGCCAGGCCAGTGTGGTCAGCGCGATCCTCAATCTTGGCCAGGCGTTTGGCCGCCCAGTCGTGGGCATTATGAGCGACTCACTGGGGCGAGTGAATGTCGCATCGGTCGCTACCTTGGTTGCTGGAGTACTTTGCTTGGTGTTCTGGGTTTTCGCCAAAAATATGGTGACTGTCTGCGTTTTCGCGATCATGGTAGGAACGGTGTCTGGCACCATATGGGCAGCTGCAGCACCACTTACTGTTGAGATTGTTGGCTTGAGACATGCATCCAGTGCCTTGAGCCTTTTCTGGCTATCATTAGGACCTCCAACTATAGTCGCTGAGGTGATTGCTGTACAGCTACGCGGCCAAACCACGGATACATTCCCTTACCTTCAGGTTCAGATGTGGGTAGGGGCGTTGTATATATCTTCTGCCATCTTTCTATATTTCATCAAGTTTTCCAGCCGACTGAAAGGGAAAATATGTCTAAAAAACCCCCGAGCAGTATAGATTTGACTTCAATATATGTACGGTACCATTATAAGCTTTTCCTCCACTAACAAGCTATCTCAAAGTGATCGGTTCTCCAATCCCAGGCGTCGTGACGTAATCTGTACTTGGTCCATGGTCTTTTAACGTCTATATACAAAAGGTTATGGCTGGCTGAACCAACATGTAATCGTATACGTAGTTATGGGATGGCACTGGCAGGGTTTGGGCATTGCGACTCACAAGCAAAAGTAAAATTGATAACACAGAAACTGGTAGCGAATACTTGTATCAGTAGCATAAACAATGCTCTCATTCTCAATTTAGCGTTGTGATAGTATCAAGTGAGGCAGCTATGCAGGTTATACAACAGCTGCTTGAAAGAGAGACGAAAAGAGCAACTACTTTAACACTAAGAACTCGATAAATTGACAAATTGATGCCATACTCAGCATCAAAACATCATGTGAGCATTAAAAAGCCCCCGATAATTCCTTCTCGTGTTAAAGAATCACTGGATACTCTTCTTCGGTGGCCTACCCATCCTCCCGGCCCCGACCCGACACGCCTCAATGTGGCTTAGCTGCTCTGCCATGAGTTCCTCAGTATGGGAGCATATGCAGCGGAAGTTGAGCTCCTTGTAAGTGCACGAATCATGCTTAAGATGGCGCCGGTAATGGTCTTTTCGGGCAGTTTCATGCGCGCACCGACATCGGTATTTGCCCTCTGTGGATTCATGGTGTGCTCGGCTCTTGTAGTGTCGGCTGAGGTCTTTTTGGCTTTCAAAAACCTTTGATAAGCACCCTTTGGTGCATGGGTAAGTCCTGGAATGTGTGTTTCTGTTTTCATTGGAGGCCATGCTATCGTACGAAGTAGAAGTTGTCGCAAGAATTGGTTCGGAATTGAGTATTGTTTCTTGCCATGATGCCTTCTTATGGAGCCCTCCTTTGGGCTTGCCTAAGGACGGACTCAGGCTAGGTTTAGCGATCATTTCACCGTCCTCCGAAGCTGAAGTGCCAGCCTGATTATCATTGTTGTGGTTTGATGGCATGTTGAATTAGCCCCAGTGATCGTCTAATAACTTGAGTGCGGCGGGAATCACACGAGAGTTGCCTTGTGTTGACCGGACGTCCAAAGAACTAGCAATACCTCCCGAAGGACCCGTACCAAAGTCTAGTAGTAACGCCGGGAGTAGTTGGAAAAGACTCCCAGATGACGAGCTCTAGGCGTATAGAGTGCAAGAATAATTTGCTTTAGTAACCCAAGGATGGCGTGTTGCGTGACCGTTGCGTCGTAGGTCCCTATGTCCCCGATGCGTTTCTGACGCTTGTGACCGTCGGATTTTGTTTTTCAGAAGGCGGTGGGGTTAAGGAACTGGGATATATACAGCCAAATATAGTATTGCTTTGAGTTTTGAAGGGGCGTAGCGGCGTAGTGAAAGCAGATTAAATGCACCGATAAAGGACAACCGAAACTATGAGAAGAACCGATCATACGGAGAAGCCCGACCTAGGAGATCAACTCCAAGATGTAACAGTCAGTAGAATGAGTGATGGCTTTGTGAAAGCTCATGCGCTTCAACAATAATCCCCCTCGGCTCTATATCGAGCACTCTTTAGGCATAGACTGAGCCGCTACGTGGTGGGAAACGAAGAAGACGAGCGCCAGGGTGGTGAGCCCTATGATAGAACAAGCAAAATTGCGACAGGTGCAGGCTAGACGCAGTGGGCAGGATATAGTTGGAGGATGAGGTGGATATCACAATGGAGTGAGAGATGGTTTGTTCATCGCTGATTGATGCGTGAGAAAGAGGTAATTATCTGCAAAGCAACATTGCTGATTCACATATGGCCTCACAGAAATGGCCCCCAGCCTACATGTGGCCTCACATAAAGCTGTGAGTGTGCCCAGCTGACGTGCCTGAATGTGGCCCCGAGTCGCCTTACCACCATCAACCAATCATTGACGACAGTTCTATGCTTATATAGAGCGGCATTTCGGATCGCTGTTTTCCCGAGCAACATGCATACAGCATCCACGCTCGAACATGAACGACCATGATAGCCCCAATGGTAAGACTGCCATGAAATCCTCCTCAGCATTGATGAGTCCTCTCAAAGGCTGAGTCATTTCGGTATTGGTAAACCGGGACTCTTTGCCCAATAGATGCGATGATTGATCAAGCCCGTCGCATCTAGAAAAGGACGGCAGTGTCATATCGGACCAGAGTACATCGAGCAGGCAACGAGCAACAAGCTCCGTGCAGATGACGGGACATCTTCCCGACTCCTGTTCTACCCTTTTCCTCTTTGATTTCGTCGGAAACGTTTTTTGCTTCTATGATATTACATGTCCATAGATCAACGGCATGTGGGCAAGATAAAGCAGTCGGATCGGTCATATTGTGTCGCTGATTTAGAGATAGATCCCAACTAGCCAGCTCGTCAATCAGTACTATAAAATTGAAGTCAGCCAAGGTCTCAATCCTTGGGGGCGGAGAGTGACTGACGAGAAATTATGTCTCAGTTCTGTGCGTTCCAGGGCCCAACGGATAGATTCGAGTTATCAAACGGCAATGTTTTACACATCCATGCATCCTGACAGTAGAGAGTCAGTGATGTGCTGCCTTATTGAATTAAGCATCAGCATAATATTCGTGGGTCTTGTGGTCCATTTATCCTCGACACAACCGAGTTCGTGGTTGAGCAGATCGCGAAATCGATCTTCGGCTAAGAGTCCTGTCCACACGGAATTCCCAGACCACCACGGACTGGTTGGCAACCCGAGGACGAGCACCATTTGCGCAAAGCTGTTCCAGAGGACCTCGGCGAAGAGAGCTCCCTGAGTGAGATATTCAAAGACGGGGACGCCGGCAAAGCTAGCGTTGGCGGGTGCAATGAAGGGTGCTCTGGGATCTAAAAGGCGGGACTGGGTAATGGAAAGAAATATCTCAAGGTGCTGGACGATTTGTGAGAAGCATGATATTATTAGCAGCGCGCTCGGCGAATCGAGAAGCACACGGTCTGCTACGGGGGTTGGTGGCTGGTCTTGAGGGCTGCCGTCATCTGGGGAATTCGACTGCAAGATGAGACACGCTCGTTTCCAAGCGGCGGCTCTTGACTTGACCGTATCTTGCCTGGTCCCTAGGGCTTTGTGGATCGCTTTGATGGTGATGAGATAGTCCTGCAAGAGTGTCATCAGGGACTGGTAAGGCTTTAAAATGGTGCCGTCGTCCAGACTGCAGTCGCCGAGGAAACTCTCAAAGGTGCCATTGGCCGGATGGTTCTTCATGGTTTCCCATAAGGTGTGAAGCTCCACGTTGATCCGGGACAAGGTGTTGAAATGCTCCCTCCTGATGAGATGGATGATCTGCGGCGGCACATCAGACGGGGGATACCGCTGGGGCATATTCTCATAATGGAAAGCAGAGGGACCCCCACGAATTGGCAAAGAAGGGAGCACGGTCTGGTGAACAGAATTGAGGAGATAGTCAGACATCTCGGGAACCATCCAATCTATTGATCCCACATCAACAGGGGTCGGTTGGCTCGGTCCTTGGCCAAGCAGATGCGGGTCGAAGATGAGCTCAGGAGTAGCCGCACCGCGCGCAAGATGCACCAAACTGGGCGACGGTCTGCTTGTGATGGCATCAGCATTACCAACCGCAGGGCCCTTCTTCTTGCCCGCGGCCAGATCCCTCTTGGAGGGCCTGCCAACCTTGCGCGACGGGCCGAGCTGGCAGTACAACCCGAGATGCTGGCACCGCGTGCATATATCAGCCAGGGCTGACGGCCGCGTGCATCGGAGCTTTTGCTTGCGGCAGTGCTCGCACGCGGACCGCACTTGGGTCGGGTGCGGGATCTGACTATTATGCATGTTCGGATCGGAGCCAACCGAATCAACACAGGGCCGATTCTTGGGCAGTATTACGCTCACGTACGGTGCCTTTCGACGATGCAAAACAATGGCAAAGGGGATGCTCAGCTGGCCCTCACTGAGTGCAGTTTACCGGAGGGTTTCTGGCGCAATCAAACGAGCAAAAGCAGTAGGCTAGAGCTTCGGAGGGTTTCCCACCGGAGGGTTTATATACCTAGTGAACTGGAGGCTCGATGACTAACCAAATAAAGACCTATTTTGGCGCCCAGTCTCGGACTCCAGCCAACGGATCAGCTCAAATTCGACCGAGCAGCCCCTGTGTACATCGTAAACGCAGCCGAATTTGGGTTGCCATCGTGGCCATCAAGGGATCCGATGAGTATGTATGGTGCCCGTGACCTCCGAACAACTCTGAACTTAGCTTGGCGGTTCCCAGTTCCCTGCAACGCGCACGAACTGTTTACAATTCCGCAATATCCGCCTTGGTCATCGTTAGTGCCAATTACGTGTCCAACATGCTAATGCAGAATTAACATACATCCCTCTTCCGCCGTCAATGATTCCAATGACGTGGCAGTAGCAGGCCTCTGTACTAACGAGGTCAAGAAACGATCAATGTGATATAGGGGCGACAGGGGGCCAAAGATAGCAATACGCCAAGGTATACTGGTGCTCTTACCCTCCACAACCTGTAGAGAGTGACGATGACTGATAAGATTCTACTGGATCGTAAAGTAAGTAGGATTGTTGATGCGGAATCAGCAGAGGATTTCTCTAGAGTCGTCGCTGCACATTTGACGCTAACAGCACAGCCAATAACTGACGACCCAGTGGCCATTGACGAAGAAATTCCTCGTGCCCTGTAACAGGAGACATCACTGATGCGTGGTATCCCCGATGCTTCGGCATTTATCTGATGATATGTGCACCTCCCGCGAATGTCCGTGGGTCACGAGCTGAGATAAAAAGCCCCAGACCAGATGAGATACGGCATTTTTTTATCGGTGTTACTAGGCATTTATCACATTTAGATGACGGGCAAGAGCTTCTTCAAAGAGACTGGGATTCTGTGAGCCGTTATCAGGCGTCCTGGAGATCCCTCTAAGTCAACGTCCGGAGGTGAGCCTCCGGGTCCCGGAAGTAAAATAGGCCATCGTCAGCACCGTATTTAATGGGCCGCAGATCGGGAAATTCTCGTGTATCATAATCTCCAAATACTTCCGGCTAGACTATTACGACAATATTATGGTTGATGCAATGGGTGTTTCGACATGTCTGACTAGCCTTTACACCTCACGAGGTACATTAGCACCTGATCCAGGTGCTGGTTTAGCTGCTGACTGCGTGCTAGTTCTCATTATAAGACTACTGACTAAAGAATGTACGGCTTCATTATTGAAATAATGAGTCGGCGCTTACTTGCATTATCTCTAACGCAATAATGTATACTGCTCTCTCTCTTCGCTTACCTTACGGGGGTACAGGGTATCCCAAATGTCTACAAGCAGTTTCGACAACAAACAGCGTCCGTTCCGTAGCCTTGAGAACGCCAAAATAAATAAAAGAAACATGCGTATAATTATTGTGAATAAAACGTATAGAAGATTTTCCGCATCAATTTACCTAGGTGCTATGAATGGTGACTATCTACCCATCTATCGGTTATTGATTTTTGGCAGCAATGAACACATACTATTTGGCCACTAGAGGAAAAAGCCTAATTTAATATCATATTGAGGTCCGCTTTGTGTAACCGAATTACACTTAGTGAAGGGGATTTGGGGTTGCCAATAACGTTAAACATGTTGGGAAGCGCCTTTGCCACCCCAAACTAAAGCTTAGCATTGTCACTCTCTAAGATCTTCAATTTGTGAATTTAGGCGTGATTTTCTGATAAGTCAAGGCGGTGCAATTGAGACTGGCGACCAACGTCCCAATTTTTCATGGTGGTCTGACCAATCACAGCTTCAAACACTCCGTAATGGCATCATTGCTGTGAGCCTTGTTGGCACAGCCACATCCTTATGGATCCCAAGGCTGAGCAAGAGGCGATTGGCGATCCATGTTGAACTCAAGGCTCTCAGGAAATAAAGTCTCTATAAAATGGCATGAATGTCGCGTGGGGGGAAAGAGTCACTAAAGCACGAGTGCACCACGTTTCCAACTTTTATCCACATACTACACTTGATTGTCAAGTCCAATTACTTACTACCTTTACACCTTACTTGAAGTCACTTTACAGAGCATGTCCAGTATCGAACAACAGATTCGGGAGGCTTCAACTCGGAACGCAGAGCTCCTGCGCACCCTCGCTGAGACAGATTACGCCCAGCCCTCCCTAAAGGAACAGATTATTTTAATCGATGATCTGCAAAAACAAATTGAGAAAAACAACAAAAATCTCCAGTTATACGACACTCAGCGAAAGGCCGAGCTCAAGGACCATGAAAAGTACCGGGACAGCCATTTCCGCCGTTTCCTATACAAGGCTACAGGAAACAAGGATAAGTTTGCTGAAAAGGCCAGTAAGGAGGAGAAGGAGTACTACGATGTCCTCCAGAAGCAGCACGAAACTACCGTTTTGAATAACGGCCTCAAGGAACAGCACGACGAGGCTAAGAGGGTCCGGGGCGAGCTCGAGACAGCCGTGGAACTCCACAAGCACAGTCAGCTCGAGCTGGATAGCCTATACAATTCCATTTTCGCGGGAGAGACGCCTCGTTTCCCTGAAGAAGATGCGCTGGAGCGCGAGAGTGATAACACGCTGCAGCGCTACCATGATGTGCGCACCAAGCTCGAGGAAGAGCTGCGCGTCTTGAAGCTGGTGAACCAGGCCCAGGGAAAAGTCAGGGAAGCCCTTCAACACATGGATGATGCCCGCTCGGCCTCTCGCATGGATATGTTTGGCTTCGATGGGATTGCCGACGCCATGGAGCGCAGCGCTCTCACAAAGGCCGACATAGCCTATCATGATGCCAGGAATTTTGCTGAGCGAGCGAACTTCGATGACCTGCCGGCGGTCAATATCAATCACGGCCACATTATGCGCGATGTTATTTTTGATAACATATTTACCGATATGCAGTTTCATGAGGAGATCAAGAGGGCCCAGAACGAGATGGAGAAGTTCGGCAGCTTTATCAAGCAGAAACTGACAGCTTCCCAAGAGAAGAAGAAGAGCATTGAGGTAGAGCTCAAGCAGGCAGAGAAAGACCTCGAGACAGCCAGGATTAACCTACAGGCAGAGCGTATGAAGTTATTTGAGCAGGTTGCCAAGGGTGCGCCGTAAAGTAACAAGGCGCTAGTTTATCGCAATCACAAACAGGAAGAGCTACACACAATATTCCCTATTCATTTACTTATCAAAGGAGAGATACCACAAGATACATAGCCAATAAATTTGATAAACCATCCGTTTTCTGTGAGGAGTGATATTGAGACCCGGGGCCTTGGTTTTTTTCGAAAGGCTTCAACATTATCATGCTTTAGATAGAATCTTCATATCTCTTCGCAACAGCCCCAGCCAACTTGTGCTTTTTCCCGAAGGTGGACGGAATTCTGCAGTTGCCGGACGGACAAGCGATGCGTTTGCCGAGAGAAACCTCGGGTTCATATCTCTTCTTGATGATCTTGTTACCATTGGATGGGAGCTTGCAGTGACTGGAATTGCACGTAAAACGTTTGTCGAGAGACCCCTCCGGTTGGTATCGTTTCTTTATGATCTTATTTCCATTGGATGGAAGTTTGCAGTGGGTGGAAGTGCAGGAGAAGCGCTTGCCAAGAGAAACTTCAGGCTCATAACTCTTCTTGATGATCTTGTTGCCATTAGATGGAATCTTGCAGTGAGTGGAAGTGCAGGTAAAACGCTTGTCGAGAGAAGCCTCCGGTTGGTATCTCTTCTTTATGATTTTGTTACCATTGGATGGAAGCTTGCAGTGGCTAGAAGTGCACTTGAAACGTTTGCCAAGAGAGACTTTCCCTTCGTCTCGGCGCCAGGACTTTGGACTCGAGGCAGTAGGAACTCCAAGGCTAACTCCTTTGAAGCGCCTTTCCAAAATGGCGTCGATATCGTCTCGTTCATACACATCTTCGTATCTTGCCCTTAGGGTTCCTGCCACTTTGTGCTTGCTGCCGAAAGTGGATGGAACCCTGCAGTTGTCGGAAGTGCATTTGATACGCTTGTCGAGGTGTGTTTCGCTTTCCATAGCGGTGGTAAGACCGGCTAAACCGACCAGTACCATGGTAAGATTCTTGATGGCGACCATGTTGGCAATTATTTGATGACCTCCGAGTACGTGAAAGTAAGAATGGAAGTATTGAGAAAAGAAAAGAAAGGCAAACCAGTTGCTTTGGAATAAGAAATGAAGAGTAGTGAGACCAGCTCAATATTGAGGACGAATAATTGATGTGATTGCTGAAGAGGCAAGAATGACTCCTTCAGAATACGCGGATACCGGTCTTCTTATAGACCTCTCAGAAGCTCTGTCTCGATTCTTAGACTGCTGTGTCAGGTCATAGGTCTTCCAGCTCCATTAAGGTGGATTCTACTTTGCGTGCCATTCCCGTATTCTGTGACACTTTCATGTTTGTTCTTCGTAAGGTATCTGCTCCTTTTTGCCTACATCTCCACGGAGACCGGTCAGCATCGTAACTGAATATTATCAATCGGGAATGGATCCCTCGTCCACTTCGGCAAGGATTTCACCCGCTTCGTGCCCGACATGTGGTATCTCTGCCTCATTGGACAACTACCGAACTCCGTACTAAATATAACTCTCGGAGCGTGACATTACCAACATCATTCGGATGCCTTGAAACATCTTTATGCAGGAGGGGATATTTATTCAAAGCTCAATAACGTAGCATTATCCAAGTGAAGAGAAACGGCTTACCTGGCTCTTCTTTTTGGTCGTTTCTTGCTCAACCCATGTCATTTTATGCGTGATCACTACACCGTAACCGGGGGGAGACGGACATGTCTCTTGTGTCTTCTGGTATTTCCATTGTTGTTCTCTATTTTGTAATTGAACTCTCATCCGTCTGTCGTGCCTACCTTCCTCGTGAAAGGTTGCGTCGTGTACGTCAGGCGTGTTTGGCCAAGAAAGAATCGGTCGTTTCTGGCCCCCAAGATATTCCCTTGTATTTCCCGTCATTCAGCCCTTCGCCGATGCATTAACGCGCACGGTAAATTTAGGATGAAACGTGCATCGCGAGTGTGGCCCAATCTTCGCGATTCATTGCCTGAGCCATCTACGTTGAACACGGCTTTTTTGCAATGTGCTGTTGATTACCCTACACTCATCTTTTCCCCATTTCTCACCCAGAACACAATGTCAGATACCAATATGGCGCTTGCTCTCACCTCGAATTTCAACATAATATTGCTCATACATCCCATAATTCATATTAAGTAGTTGCCTGATTTCTGCCTCACCCATTTCTACTTGGTCTTTTTATTGATGCTGGAAGTATTCTCTCAACTTACGAAAACACACATGAGCTGACTTTGTCATTATTATTAGGCCAATATGCATGGGCAAGTTTATATTTCACATGATGCCTAACCGGCATAAGGTTTATGCAATTCCCTAAGTATTATTGAAGTTCCGCCCATCCCCATCTCACACAAGTATGCCACAGTGATTGGGTTAACTGTGCGCTTGAGCTGTGATCACCGTGCAGCAACGCGAGAGGTTAAAATTGATGTAAGGTTAATCTTGCTACAGGGCGAGCGACATTAGCCCCCTGCTTAAAGTATATATGTGGTTAAAGTAAAAAGTCCATGCAATTTCTATTGCAATACAGTGCCATTGGTTTCCTCGACTATCGCGTTATATTCAGGCAAGAATTGCATGTACATGCAGGCGGGTGATCCTGAGCAACGCTTGGTATATTCCGCTTCTTCGTCACCCACTGTGATCTTCTTCAAGCCATTGGCGGCCGCGGCTTCAACCAGAAGCTGGTTCGCACAAGCCCTCTCAAGAGCGATGAAAAAAGCGGCAGCCTCGCCCATGGTTTCCCCACATGTAATTATGCTATTTTGATGCAAGGAAAATTTAGTCACGACGGGCATATATGATGCTGTTTCTTGGATCTCTTACCCATGATTTTGAAGAATGGCGTTCTTCTTGCGTGGGCCAAGTGCTTCCGCAAGGCGCTGTCCTTCTTCCTTCGCTAACACTATACCGCCGAAGCCCTCATAAACTGCAAGATCATCATAAAACATGCAAGAATCTGGAAGATATAGAATATAAGACAGCTATTTTTCATATTGGGAAAATGGGTAGGAAAAGCTGACACATACCTTGATTCAACATCTCGATAGGCTTGCCGAATGTCGACCAAGCTCTTCCTTGAGGGGCATGGACATGGCAAGCAGCATTGATATCAGGCCTTGCCTTGTGAATGGATGAGTGGATGATAAAGCCAGCCGCATTTACCTTGTGAGGAGTAGGTTCAACGGGCTGGCCTTCTTCATTTACCAGGACAAGATCACTGGCTCGGATCTTGGAGAAGTGCATTGCGTAAGGGTCTTCAATGGAAGTTGTCAGATAAAGCTGAGTTAGGGAGAGGTCTCTTAGCCGCACTTACTGATCCAAAAACAGTCAGGCTTTACCGGATCTGCACAACATTATTAGCAGCGTTGTTGCTTCACGTTCAAGACAAATCAAGTTGGTTTCTGCAAACTCACCGCGCAGGCTAATGTGTCCAGAGGCACCGTCTGCAAATCCAAGCTTGGCAAATATCCGAAACGCGCCAGCCATGTGCTGCTTGGCCCATTGACGCTCCTCATGCTTATCTGTGAAGGTTGGCACATTGTGGAGCCTCACAGGGCCTGTGCCATCGATGTCCGTATTAAGAACACTTCCGTTGTCAATATGCTGAGGGGCCTCCAAACTGATCGAAGCAGTCTGGTGTAGCTTCGACGAGACCTCACGAATTTCTGTGTTGGAGACGGATGGTGACATGATGAGTAGAGTATGTGATGATAGATGCTGAAAGAGTTTGGAGTTAACAAATTCTGGATAGCTACTTTCCTATCAAGATTAGACCCTTGTACTCGAGCTTACAATATGGATATCCACTCATTATTATACCATTGTAGAATAACGGATTACTATGTTGATGGCCTCCGGCAATGGAATACGAGTGGAGAGTGGAACTGATTCGCCACTTGGGGATTCGTCCCACCGTGTCATCGCTTGTGCTGGATTTACTAGGCTCACGCCTTCGTATTCTTCCGCTAGGGCGTATAATTTGCTTCCCACCAGCCGGAGATGTTGCGACGGATTGAGCCGAGTTAGACCATTTCTGTGTTTCCCAGCAAAAGAATTGAGAAACATCAATATGTAACATACCTAGAAGCATATACTAATATAGCCCCTAACTAACTTGATAACTGAGTGGTCGTAAACTTGTTCACCCTCTTTGATACTATTTTTCTTTTTTTTTTTTTTTGTTCTTTAAAATTCCCTCTAGAATAAGAAATTCAACAATGACTCAACCCGACAATCAAAATGAGCGACCGCCTCTGGGATTCTTAGCCACCGAAATCAATTTCCATCGGCCCCCAGGAGACGGCTTTAACAACAGGACTTGGTCATTCCCCCTGATTCAACAAGTTGCTAAAGGCTCTCTATTGGTTCAGCTTGTCAGCAAGGACGAATATCCCGAGGAGTTTATTGAGAATTTCGTCAAAGCCTCGGAAATCCTCATTGCCAAAGGATGTGTGGGTATCATCACGAGCTGCGGATTCTTGGCCATGGCGCAACCTGAGTGAGTCTTATATAAACAGCTAGCCAGACCGCCTCATCATAAAATCGTTTTGCTCATCAAGTTCTGTCTCTTTAGGTTGTCTAAGCGCCTATCGGTGCCTATAGCCACATCTTCCCTTCTCCAGATCCCAGGAATCCAAGGGTTTTTGCCAAAGGGAAAGGTCCCGGGCGTCATCACATTTGACGGTACTCGGCTCAAGCTGAAGCATTTTCAGCAGCTTGGTATCGCAAATGCTGAATCGATCCCGATTGAGGGATGCCCCGATCCTGGAGAGTTGCGTCGAGTGATTCGCGATGGATTGCCGTATGTCCATGACAAACTTGAGGCAGAGTTGGTTCAAGCAGCAAAAAACTTAGTCAGGAGGCGTCCGGACGTGGGAGCCATTGTTCTCGAGTGCACGCAGCTTCCTCCATTTGCAAAGGCCATTCAAGCGGCAGTGAAGGTACCTGTATTCGATGTGTATACTCTCGGCGAGTGGTTTTATTCTGGACTGTCTCGAAAAGGGTTCGCCGAATGGACTGCTACGGAGAAGATTGAGGCAAGGCAGCACAGACCTCGCTCTAAGGTTGAACTATCGGAAAGTAAATTGTAGAATATAACTATAATATACACAAACATTTGCTTTACTCCGATATGTACTATCATTTTTATAGAATGGCCCATGAAGTAGTAGTCGGGTTTCAGACAGACGCATTCAACAGCGTTTTAAAGCCCTGCAGTTTCAACATCTGGCCTTAGCTAGTAACAGATCGTGTCTTGAACCGTCCCAGAGGCGAAGGCCCCGACAATTGCTTCAAGATGTGTTTATATTGCTAATTACGGTATAATTATATCTATTACATTTTCTCTTTTACTTTTTGTGATATAAGAACTGGACGTGTATTTTGCTGATTAAAATTAGACCTGTCTCTGCCCCTCGCGGTCCTTAAGAAACGGTCTGAGTGGATTGCCATTTTGCCTGGTTCCGAGGCTCTAATTATTCTATTTGAGAGGGAAAGATAGAGACAGTAGAGCGTAAGGAGGGTCACGTCAGGGGGATACGCACGTCAACTGAGGAGAACCAGGTTTAGATCCGAAAATCGGAGCCCCCGCCGGCTGTACTGAGTTGAGCATTTGAGAATCTTCTGGAACCCCACCCACTAAGTTAACTAGGTAATATTTCAAGAACGGATTGTTTTCCCGTCTTACGAGGAGCCTTCGTTTGGTGTATTGCCCCGCCATTTCACGGTGGAAGCTCCCGCCGATCATCGTATTCTTCCGCTGCCATGCCAAGCTTACCATAATTGGGCGGATCGGACCAGCCATTTATTCAGGAATTATTCCTTGCTCAGCATAATGTCTTCCACTAGAAACTGTGTCATAAGTCTGTGGCCAATTGCTCAATTCTTTATTTGAATCCCTCACCCCTCCGTCATCGGAGCCATACTTCGCACCTCTTGGTATCCGTGCCTCCTTCATAGGCGTAGTCCTCATTTCTCGACAATTAATTGACACGATGGGCTCGTCCACGACTAAGCCGAAAGTGCTCGCCTTGGGCTATCCTGATTATGCCGGCGATGCTTACATGGCAGAGTTTGAGAAGGCATTTACCATTGACGTTTGTTTTGATTTCTCCCTGGAGCTTAACTGCGCAATGATGCTGATAATCCCTCTAGGTCCTCAAGCCTAGCGATCGAAAGGGCACCCTCGAAGGCGTTGCAGCCAAGGTCAAGGAATCTGGGCCATACGATGCCCTCCTCGTCCTCATGGGCATTGGCCCATACGAGCCCTTTGACGAGGAATTCTTGAAGCCTCTGCTCCCCCAATGCAAGATTCTCGTCTCTTGCTCGGCCGGATATAACGAGTTCGACGTCCCCTGGATGACCAAGAACGGCATGTGGTTCTGCAACACACGATCTGCTGTATCTGAACCAACCGCCGATATGGCCATCTTCTTGATACTGGCTGTGCTCCGTGATACTACACGAGGCGAGAAACAGGCCCGTGAGGGCAAATGGAGAGGGGCGCTTCCTCCTACGCGTGATCCTACCGGTCTCACCTTGGGAATTGTCGGTATGGGTGGTATCGGAAAGGTAATTAACTGCGAGGCTGTACCCTTGCTCTCTTTATTTTCTCTATATTAGCTTAACACTGACTACTTCTGCGATGACAGCACCTTGCGAGGAAGGCTCAGGTTTTCAACATGCGAGTCAAGTACTACAATCGCACGCAACTTAGTGCCGAAGAGGAGGCCAGATATGGAGCCAGCTACGCCAAGTCCATGGAGGAGCTTCTGAGCCAATCTGATGTGGTCTCAATCAACTGCCCCCTGAATGAAAAGACAGTTGGGCTTATTGGAGAGAGGGAGTTCTCCCAGATGAAAGATGGTGTTTTCTTTATCAACACTGCTAGAGGCCCTATTGTCGATGAGGAGGCTTTGATAAAGGCTCTCAAAAGCGGCAAGGTGGCGCGTGCTGGACTCGACGTGTTTGACGGGGAGCCAAAGATCAAGTAAGTAGCAGGTTTCCGATGAAAATGATGCTTCATATCTATCCGTGTGATTTGGGTTTTCGTTTGCTAACCATGACATCTAGCCCTTATTTCATTGAGTGCGACCGTTGCACAATCCAGCCTCATCTTGGCGGCCTGACAGATGGTGCGTGGAAGGCAGCTGAGATTGAGTGTTTAGAAAATATCAAGAGCCTCTTTTCAACTGGAAAGCCAGTAGCACCGGTAAATACTCTCTAGTGGAGTAGTATAATTCCATTGTGCGACAAAAAAAATTATAGAAACCAAGTAGATATTAGTTCTAGATGGTCCGATACCAGCTGTATTAGCATGATGCTCCTTGATAGCAAATGATAAAGTCATAGCTCTAAGGTGACCTAAGAGCAATTGTAAACAGACACCCATTTTAGACCATAAGCCGCCCGTTCGACACATGAATCATGTTACAAAACCCTGCCGAGATGAAAAGTTTCGAGTTAGCCTCGATACGAGTTAGTGGCTTCTGTCGTAGGGATCACGGAAACAGCGCATGCAATATCTACCCGCTAAGCCAGGTTCCCCGCTTAAGGGTTCATAAGCTGATAACTGACATGACACACGGTTGGCTGTTATCAGCGGGGGTGGACCATTCAAAACGTATGAAAGCGGGTTAAGTATATCGCCTCCAGTCGACTCGCCTTTTCTTCCAAACTCGTAACCTACACGCTAATTACGACCTACAGATAGAGAGAACCTGACGGTGTGCGCATACTTGATATTGCGGCGGATTAATAGGGTTATCATCCGCTCTTTCTTTATAATCTATTCTTTGACCTTTTCCCTGGACATACTCCGTCGCTCGACATGGAGAACTCACCAGCCCCTAAACGATTACGAACTCGGCCCAGAACACAGGTGGCTTGTCTGGCTTGCAAGTCACGGAAGCAAAAGGCAAGTAGGATAATCCTTTTTTTCTTCAAATTTGAAGTCGTATTTGGGCTCTGGGGCTAATCTCTCTTTCAGTGTGAACCTGTTGGCGCAGGCTGCAGGAATTGCATCCGAGCTGGGCGAGGTCAGTAACGGTCAATACTCACTACTCAATGACTCAAAAATTGAGTTAGAATGGCTGAAACCTAAATCGTCTGTCATAGATTGCATCATCGAAGATCCCGCTACGAAAAGACAACAGCCTCGCGGTTATCTCCAGTCCCTGGAGGAGCGAGTGGGAATGCTTGAGGGGCTTTTGGCCCAGACTTACCCTGATTTATCGAAAGACCACCTTCATGAATTCGAGAGCATATCAGCACATACGTCGAATGATCAGAATGATAACGGTCCACTGGCTGATGTACTCAGCGAGTCCGAACGCATTCAAAGCGACCAGTTCAGCACAACTACTTCATTCATCCCGGAGAGTATAGCGGGTGCCCAGTTCACTCCAGGAGATCACATAAGCACTCCGAGCGCCGTGAATCAGTCTGAGAACGTGGATGATTTGTTTTCGGAAATTGGGATGCTCTCTCTCCAGGCTGCAGGGCAGAGTCCGCCGCATCCGCATTACTTCGGGCCCGGGTCAAGCTTTGTCTTTTCAAAGACGGTCTTTTCCCATTTCAATAGACTCAGAAGCCAGGGGCCAGGGCTCTCACTGGGTGGGATTTGGGACTTGAAGATGTCTAGTATGCCTCCCGCTGTCCCCGCTGCTCTTCCCAGTCGCGAGATTGGGAGGCTTTTGTCAAATGCATACTTTGAAAATATCAATCCGCAGGTGAGCAAGTCCCAAATCTGTCCAATTGGCAAGAATGAATCCGTGGCTTTGATGCACTCGGTCGGAGACTCTTGACGCATTTCAGCATCCGCAAATATACGTTAGGTACTGACAAGAGACAAGTACCCTATCCTTCATCGGCCGACATTCAGCAAGTGGGAGCAGGAGGTCATGGACGCTAGAGATAATGCTACGATACCGCCCTCCGTTGCTAGTTTTTTCGTAAATATAGTATGAATGGCTGCCCAGAGGAACTCTACTCCCACCTGATCAGCGATGCTAAGATCTACGCAGGTATATGCAGTTGGCACCTTAATCCTGCCTCATACGATCGATAGCCCTGCTGAGGTTAGTCTTTACCTTCTGATGTTGGAGTTGCTGTCTTATCTTTGCCTGCTACTGTTCATTAAATGACTAACCCGATGCTGTAGTGTTTTTATGCCGCTGCCGAAAGCCATTTTGGATCACTAGCTCAGACACAAGGGCTCGAACTGATCCAGGGAATACTGTGTCTTTCCATGTACAGCATACGCAGTGCAATTGGGGTCTCTGTTTGGTATGTTCTAGATCCACCCTTTTTGTCATTTCATCACTGCTCGTGATTCTGACACTTACGACTGCTTCAGGAGCTTGTCTGGTCTTGCACTTCGACAGTGTGTTGAACTGGGTTATCATCGCAATACAAGGAAGTTTCGAAGCGGTCAGAGTCTTATTGTACAACAACTTCAGAGACGTGTATTTTGGGTGGCTTATGATCTCGATCGCTGCGCTTGCGTTACTCTCGGACGACCATTCGGCATCGCAGACTCCGATATCGATGTTGAAGTGAGTACGCCGGTCTTCAATTAATCGTCTACTATGTGAAAATGAAACTGATGTAACATGCCTTAGCTTCCATTCGATATCAATGATGAAGCCCTAACTTCACACAGCCTCCTGGAAGCACCGCGCACTAACCCGAGTGACAAACCTACCACTATGACAGCCTTTCTTCATCTCACCAAGCTGCGGCGCATATGGTCAAGGATACAAACAGACTTGTATCCAAGTAATCCACCCAAGAATAGCGAAACTACTGTCGAGTCTCGTATCATTGCGTTTAGAGAAGAATTGGACCATTGGCACCAAATCATCCCGCCACCCGTGCCCGTCACAGCAGCACTCTCAACCTTCAGCACAAGCGAGTGGTTCCATCTAGCCTACAACCACTCCAAGTTATTACTGTATCGTCGGATGTTAACTCCCGACGCTCACGGAGGCAGCTCTTATCCTCATATCGAATGCTGCACAGCGGCTCGCGAGATTTGTCTCCTCTACCGGAAGCTCTTTTTGACAAACCCCGTGAGCTACACGTGGGGTGCACTACACATCCTATTTCTTGCTGGGCTGACCTATCTCCACTGTCTGATATCTTGCCCCGATGTTAGAAGGGTTACTAGACAAGACGATGTTGCACACACTAGCACCTCGTGCACTATCGTCCTGGTTATCATGGCTGAGCGATGGAAATGTGCAGCCGCCTACCGTGACACATTTGAGATGCTAGCAAAGGCGACCATGTCCATGCTTGTCAACGTGGCCCACAATGCACCGGGGGAGGCGATTAACAACGTTGAGCAACTCGGCTGGGAGCCGGCCAAAACTCAGAATGGCTCACTCATGGGTGAGCTAACTAATCAGCAAGGATTGACAGAGCTCCCAGGGTATATTGAAGATATCGAACGCGTCGGGATGTGTTTTGGAACAGAGGAGTTGTTGACGCAGTTCTTGGGTCAAGATGACTAACTGAACGGGGCACTCTTCGTTCACATATTATTGATAGATATGGAAATTAAACCGAAGTTGGTATCACTTAGTTGAAGTTTACTTAACAGACTGATGTGCAATAATTTGGTCATTCGCAAATAATGGCCAATAACATGAATGCGGCCTCCACATGGAGCAACATCCGAGATTGTTGGCGTTTCTGCCTACTATCTAATCCGTGATGTTTAGTGACGAAGTAATCAATGTTCAGCTAAGAGAACTATTGGCGGTCGTATGATTGAAGGTGCCACGTTGGCGGAAGAAGTGGGTAGAGGAGGCGAAGGACCAGGTGATGTGAGGTGCGGAGGGAGGGCTCGCTTGCTTATCCACCCGCTTGACCCATTCGTATTCTTCCGTTAGCGCAGAAGACTTGCGTTTCACCGAATTATGCCTTCCAGGTTGGTCTTGAGACTCGGGAATGGGATACTGAGTTCATTCCCGAGCCAATTACAATCCTTATCCAATACATAATTCCAGCCTAAGCTTCTACTGCTTCAAGCTATCACCAAGACCATCGTTATTGCGTTACCCGTTACCTAGAGTCCCTAAAGTTGAAGTAACAACTACCTACCTTAGCTTTGAATTGGGAGCATGCAAAAGTCCAATACGTCAACATGGATTCCCCAGTACAGCGATCAGACCCAATTGTTATTCTCGGAGCAGGTGTCTTCGGTCTAAGCACGGCTTTGCATCTTTGTCAGAGAGGATTCACGGATGTGACTATTCTCGATAAGCAAAATTACGATGAGTCGAAATACTCATACCTTGAGGGTTGTGATGCACCATCGGCTGGTGAGTAAATAGCACAGTAGCCGGCCTCAGGTGAAGTAAGCTAACACAAGTCCGTCTATCAGATATGAACAAAATCATTCGAGCTGCGTATGGGCCTGAGACGGTCTATCAAGACCTGTCCTTCGAGGCCATGGACCTATGGAGATCGTACAATGACTACATTTCTGCCGGAAGGGACCTACCACCTGGGTTGTCACAGAAGGACGAGATTTGGGTCAACAACGGCAACTTGCAGATATGTGCGCAAATTGATTTGCCATATTTCGAGAGGATGTCCATCGAAAACATGCGCAAGGCTGGGAAGAGAGACACGCAGGTTGTTGTGACCGAAAAGCACGACGTAAACAGAGCTGAAAAAGCAGGCTTTGGCTTTGCGGTTGACCCTTTCAGCCGATGGCAAAAGAACAAACCCTACCAGGCACTGCTCGATACATCCGGTGGTTTCGTCTATGCCGACAAGGCCTGCCGGCTGGTGTTGCACCTCGCACGCCGAGCCGGTGTAAAGGTCGTCTTGGGCCCCGAAGCTGAGTTTTCAGGATACCGCGAAGACCCCCGAGGAAATATCACAGGGTTGGAGACAGTCGGAGCCAAAACATACCCGGCTCGGCTTGTCGTGGTTGCTTGCGGTGGGTGGACTCAACAGATCGTCCCCGGCATGGACCATTTATGTGAGACAACAGGCGGTTCTGTTGCGGTGGTTAAGATCCCAAAAACCCATGCGTTATACGAGCGGTTTTCACCGCACAACTTCCCCACATGGACCTACAAGATGCGTGATGGGGACGACGGCGGTCTTTACGGATTCCCCGTGGATGAGAATGGATACTTCAAAATTGGGTACCGAGGCACCAAGTACATCAACCCACAAAATCTCGGTGACGAGAAGGAAAGATCGGTACCTGTCACAAGGTGGTCCAAACCAGATTCCATCACACGTATACCTTCACACGCCTTGGATCGCATTCGTGGTTTTCTCGAGGAGTTTGTTCCAGAACTCGGTGAGACGGGCCTTGATATAACTTTCACTCGCCTTTGCTGGTACAACGACTCTTTCGACAACCACTTTGTTATCGACCATGTGCCTCATAAGAAGGGACTGATGGTTGCTACTGGCGGCAGCGGACACGCTTTTATGTTTCTGCCCAACATTGGGAAGTACGTAGTGGACAAGATAGAGGGTAAGAGTGGCGGTCCCCTCGATTACTGGAAATGGAGAAATCTAGAACCCTCGAAAAAGCCTGTCAATGTTCTCGGCGAAGGTCGTCAGAGCGAGAGGGCGTTGCAGAACCAACGTCTGTATCAGGACGACGAGCTAGTCCTAGGCGGTACTTCCGGTCTGGGTAAAAGGGCCAGGCTGTAGTTTCATTTATTTGATTGTGATTTTATTGCCCGGGAAGCGGACACGAATAGATTCATGTTCTGTGGTACTAGAGCGCACATTTACCATACTTACATTATTATTGAAGTGTTTTCATAGCCACCAAATAATATTCAGGATACAAAGCCAGATGAAAACAACTGTATGCTCGAATGCTTCTACGGAGTGGGTGCTCAGTCCCAAATAGAATGGGACGTGCTGGCGTCTCGCCAACAAGGAGAGCCTCCGTTTACGATTACCAAATATCTGCGGGAGAATCCGAACCTCGTGCAGCTGTCCCATTTCCGAAGTTCTCCAATTTGATCTAAAATAGCGGCTGAGGATAGTCCAGTAGCTGGAGCTTTCTACTAGACTTACGGCAGCATAATCCCGCAACCTCCCATTATCGACGCCATTTAAACATTTGTTTACTTCGGGGTTTTCATGCTTGTTCACAATAATACACAATAAAAACATTATCTACCTCTGCACATAAAACTCCGAAGCTTATTTTACTCCTTTAATCCAAAATACATCATGTCTGACGCACAACCAATCTTGGATCACATTGTTGTGCTAGTCTCATACGAAACACTACAAGAGCTACCGGAGAAGCTCAAGGAGCATTTCAACATTATCCCAGGAGGCGGTGCAACAACGGGCGTCACGATCAACAAACTCCTTATCCTGCCCGATGGCACATACCTTGAGCTTGTTGCCTTCAATAAAGGGGTTGAGCCTGAAAAGCGACAAGCTCATCGCTGGAGCAACGCTACGGAGGGTAGTGTCATTGACTGGGCTTACACTTTGAATAGCCCTGATGAGTTTGAGCCTATCCAGCAGCGAGTCAACGGTTCTGAATCTGGTGTCTTCTACCAAGAACCTGTCCCCGGCGGGAGAAAGCGACCTGATGGTGTTGAACTAAAGTGGTCAATTATTCTGCCAGTTGGTGAACACCAGAACCGTCTTCAGCCGGGTATAGCCCCATTCTGGTGCTTGGACAAGACACCGAGATCACTCAGGGTCCCTTATCTGGCCGAGGACGGAAACGAGCCCGCCACTTGTACGCAGCACCCCTGCGGTGCACAGTCTGTATCCAAGCTCGAGGTTCTCGTACCTCGCGCTTTGCAGCAGAAGATGGGGAAGGCATACGCATCTATTCACACCATCACCCAGGGAGGCAGAACTTGGGGTTATGGAACACATGGTGACTCCGAACTTGCTGGGGGCCTGGTGACTCTTGGCGAGAGTCCAGACTCAACCGTCAAGATTGCACTAACCCTGAAAGGCGACAAGTCCCAAAAGATCGCTATACTTCCAGGAGTCGAAATTACGATAACAAAGTGAAATTTATCTATTCAGGAAGACAAACGTCGGAGGGGAGGAGGACGGCGACAGGTCCAGACGATAGCAAGACGATCTAGATAGCTTAGTCGAAATTGGAATGCTATACCACGAGACTTACTGCTCCTAGTCTTCCAATACCGTGTGATTCCTTCTGAAATGCAAGCCAATAGAGACACTGAGACACAATACGACACAGCAGGTTAGTCCATTTAGTTGGTGTGCAGCAATATGATGAAATAGACACACAACCATCTAGAATTTTAGATACTACGCGCGTCCCCCCCGCTGATGGATGAGAGTCTAGGCACAAAGTACAAACAATAATGGAAGATACCAGACCCGACATCTCAATCATCCTTCCCCGCGCGTGTAGAATGGCTAGTCTTAATCAAGTTACCCAGCGTGGCAATTGCACACAAAAGCATGCCCAACATCTTTCCGTATGTGAGCCGAAGTCTTCGGTTTGCTCCCAGTTCCTAAACACACCCCTACGGAAGCACTGCCGTTAGCGTTCTACTTGCTCCACATCTCACATCTCATGCGAGAGTCAGTTACGGGAACTACCGACTTTCATATCTTCACACTCAGTCGAATGTGGTTTAGCCGTTTAGTCACCCATGTACGTTATCGGCCGCTCAAGGAGCAGACCAATGCCACGGTTTTGGTTTTGGTTACCCCACAAGAAGGCTAATCTTCTTCCTGACTCCAGACTGCCATGGATGTGCCATGTTCAGCCTGTGCATGACCTTTTATCTTGATCTGTTTGGTCTGTGGAAGCACGCGCGATGCATCCTTAATGATCCTGCGGAGAAACTATTTCTATCTCGCAAAACCCCCAACAGCATACAACCTATGCTCTTCTCATCACTCAGACTTCCTGCAACAATTAACTTGCTCTAGGTCCGCAAAGCCGTACCCCAGCTACGAACTTTCGACACGATAACTATGGCAAGTCTCTTTGAAAAGTCCACCTTGGGCAAATATGTCCAAACCATCAAGGCGTCGCCGCGGGAGTTGTTCTTCAACTCCAAGCTTCTCTTCTCGACTGCGGTCTACGCAATGACGGCTATGGCTATCAGTAAGTTGAGCACGCAACAGAAAAGAGAGAAAACTGTTTACTAATAGGGTTTTTAGCTTGGGACCAAGGTTCAAGTTCTGTCATTCCCTCTCTTCCGGGGTTTGCCAAAGCATACGGAATCACGTCGGCTGCGAATCCCGCTCAAGTAACCAACTTCATCTCGATTGTATATCTAGGAGCGGGTGTTGGCTCCTTCTTCTCATACTTTCTCAACGATAGGATTGGAAGGGTGTGGTCACTCCGGGTATACTTTGTCGTCTGGATGGTCGGCCAACTTATCGCGACATTCTCCAGCGGCAAAATGCCAGCCCTTTACGTCGCTCGAATCGTCTCTGGCTTGGGAATTGGGCCTCTTACCGTCACTGGACCCATGTCTATTGTTGAAATCGCGCCTACCGAGTTCCGCGGTCTGCTCAGCTTCTGGTTTGGTATCGTCTTGCTTCTTAGCTTGATGGTTGCTAACCTGACTGTTTATGCTACCTTCGTACATGTCAGTCCGTCACCATTGCAGTATCAAATCGTTTGGTTTGTCCCTATCATTGTCTCTTTGTTGGTTATTATAGCCAGCTTCTGGGCCGTGGAGTCGCCCCGCTGGCTCATGTTAGTCGGCCGCGAAGACGAGGCGATCGAGAATCTTGTCCAATTGCGTGGCCTCCCTCTCGAGCACGAGCGCGTTTCATCCGAGTTGGCAGAAATCAAGAAACAAATACAGGAGGAGCACATGAAGTTTGGAGAAAAGGGCGGCTTCAAAGCCATCCTGAGGGAGACCTTTTTGGACAAGGCCAATCTCCGCCGAGTCTTCCAGACCGCAATTGCCTATGCACTTGCGCAGATCACGGGAGCAAATTCGGTCACCAGCTATCTGGTCCCCATTTTGTCACTTATGGGAATGGGTGGTGAACAGGCTCGCAACTTGCTGCTCGCTGCCATGTACTCCATGGCCAAGGTTTTCTACACCATCATTGCGTCTTTTTTCTTCGTCGATGCTCTGGGTCGACGCAATTCATTGTTCATCGGTATCACCTTCCAGCTGGTCTCAGACGTGTACATTGGTGTCTACTTGAAGTACCGTCAGACTGGATCGGTTGCACCAGGTTCCTCTGAAGGTGCTATCGCCGCAATCTTCCTTCACGGGTTTGGTTTCGCTGTCGGTAAGTCTATCTTCACTTGCTTCTACCACGAGAAGTTATGATTGCGATCACAAACTAACCTTGTTTGTCTCAGGCTTGCTGTCACTGCCTTACATTTTTGGTGCTGAGCTATGGCCTAATGGTATCAGGTCTTTTGGCTCAGCCCTATCTCAGACCTTTCACTGGCTGTTCTTTTTTGCTATTCTTAGAGCTACGCCATCTATCTTGTCGAGTATGAATAACTGGGGTGCTTTCATCTTCTTTGCTGGCTGGTGTCTTATTGCACTGGTGTACGTATTCTTCTCGGTGCCTGAGACAGCTGGCCTTTCTGTTGAGCAACTTGACGCGGTCTTTAGGGGACCATGGTATAAGGCTTATATTTCTTCCAAGCGCCAACAACAGGGAGAGTTGATGACATTGGATGGCCTTCATGTGGTCGACCAGGAAGCCGGCCGTCAGTCTCCTGAGACGGACGGTGGTAAGTCCAAGGGCGACGTAATTACAAACCATTAGTAATATCATCAGCAGTGTACATTTATTCGTGGCTTTAGCAGGAATAGCTAGGCTCTTTATATCTTACTGCTTTTTATAATATATACTAGGTTGCCTTATGTTATCCTTTCAAGTTTCTCGTCTAGAATATAGTGATTAATGTTCTTATAGCATTTGTTCTCGCCGAAGCCCACTCGGAATCAGTTCTCGTTAAGAGATTCAGACTGGATTGGAACAACTTTTTAATACTACTAGCTATTCCATGACTTCGATTGAATAATTGTCATTCCTCCGTTATGCCTTCTTCAAGACAAGTGTGGAAATGTTGAACATGGATCTTCTGTTGTTCCCCAAACTCTCTCTCCAGTACACCTTCTTGAGGCTTTCACTACTATCAATATAAAATGATATAGATCACTGATTTCTTATCCAAAGTACGGACAAACTTTCCGCCGGAATGAGGTGTGTTGTCGGGTAAACATGGCTCTGAAATGGTGAAGCTGCGCATTCTGTAGGGTAGGGGCGAATTAACGCAATTTCCAAGCCAAGGGGTTATCAAATTAGAGCCTAATGAAATGTGAGATAGGTGATAATGTAAGCCAAACAAATGACGATTAGGCGAGATGAGACCCTTGGAATGAATGGGTTGTCCCGTACTCGTATATTGGTAGCTAACAACAGCCCGTATCCCATTGTCTGGTCAAGTATTAATGCTCGGTCAAAAAGCAAGCACTAGACCACTTTGATCACAAGCTCATGCCGTTAAAATTACCAAAATAGGCCAAACCATAACTTTGAACAGAGCCATAACGTCGGAAGTTCAGTAAACTCACCCATCTACAACTACAAGTGATAACATGACTCCTCTACATCGTCATGGGCATGGAGTTATAACTTTCTACGTGAATTTGTTCACGGCTCGATGCCACTTGGACCAACTTGTCTGCCTAAAATGCGGCTAAGAATAATGCTGACAGCAGCTCCACCGGCATGCCATGCGTGAATAGCACTGAGAGCTACAAAAGGTCCGCCGGATCAGAGCGACTCGCAAACCAGCCCTACTTCCTGAATATCATTTCGTTCAGATCTTGTCTCCCCCGACTCAACATCCAAAACTACAAGTAAAATGGGATACCACGAAATTTATTGTCTGATATGCAATGTCAGTTTTGCTATCGCTCGCATCCGCACACTCAATGAGCCACCTGACGCATCCTGGGGTTGCTGTGGAATCACCACCCGCAAAAATGAATTTGTGAAGGTGGAGGACCTTGAGTACGGAAATGAGTTCGGAGAGGAGGATTCCGAAATGGAAAGTGACGAGGAATATGAGGATGAGCTAGGAGGGTGTGGAGATGGATGTATGATGGCTGTATGGCCATGGGATGGGACAGAGTCTATTGCTGGTAACTCCTCGTATAATCCTCACAGTCTACACCCTACCGAGGAAATGTACTATCGAAGGGTCAAGAATCACCCCGAAGAAGTCAGGCCACAGATATGGGCCAGACTCATAGGCGGCAATCCTGTTAGGCTGGAACACATCGCAGGCCCGGATTGCGAGAGCGAGTCGGGATACAACGGACACCTCATCTCCGTAGAGGAAATGAGGGGATGCAATACCATGCAGGGGCTGATTCTGAAAGATCCAGACTGGGAGCCGGAAGATGGGGACGAGGAGTTCGAAAGGTCTGGCCGATATTATCTCACCGGGCTACAAGACGCCAACACCAATCTCGACGCTTATGATTCGTGTACGCCTACAAGACACGGCTGTTACTCCGTGCTTCCAGCCTCTTACAGTGATGACACTGATGAAATAATGGGGAACAACGCCAAACCAGTCTATCACTATTCCCTACCTGTCCACCCCACCTGCTTGGAGGTTTTGAAAAGGGTTCATCTGCGCCGATATGGACACGCCGGTATTGACAAGTTCCTAATGTGGTGGGAGCTAGGTGTCAAAAAGAGAGCCCTACCCAAAGACCCATGCCGAATAGATGCTTCTCATGGCCGAGATCAATACTGGCTACATAACACTGGCGCCGAATATTTGGCTGCAAACCCCCTTTTTGTGCCCGGGCTTGAAAAGATCTTCCGTCTCGCTGATACCGCGCCCCTTTCCGAGGGTGGCAAGAGAAATTACAATGTCGAGGACGAAGTGTTCGCTGTGTTGCCAACTGAACTACGCAGAATGATATTTGACTACCTAAGCAGAGATGAGATCACAAAGCTTCACCACGCATCGCCTTTGTTGTATCGCAACGCGATGATGGACTTGGGGGATTCATTTATGAAAGAACATCCCTGGCTGTGGGAATATTGGACGGAGTTGCCATACTCCACTTGGGCGCTCACAACCGCCACTGAGCTGCAAGAATCAATCGAGAGCCCGGTCAAGCAGCTCATTGCTTCACGTTCTATTGACTGGGGCTCCGTCATGAGGATGTTTTGGAATGGAGAGCAGTCTGGCCGCTTGAAGGGTCTTCGGAATCGTGGCCGGATTTGGAAAGTTTGTGACATGATATTGGACAAAGTCGAAGAACATCACCCTTTGGTCTCATGAGTCAAAGTAGTTCGGGTTCGAGAGTCTTACAGACATGTATGCCGACTTGAATCTCTCTTGATTCTGCTTAAAAAAAGCTATCACCGAAAACAGACCCTATACATCATTAAAAGGAAAAAAAAGGAAAAAGAAAGCTAGAAAAAGATATTTGAACCCATCCTGATATCAAGTACTGTGATGTCCTGGATACAATCTGTCCCGGAGCTGAACCAACTTGTCCCAGGCAGCTTTGTGCCTACCTGAAGACTTCTTGCCTGGACTAGCGTCCTCATGCTCTTCCTCATCATAGTCCTCTATCAAATCGCTAAGATGCTCCTCTGTGATGTTGCGGCTTGTGGCATAGTCACAAAATATATCGAGAAATATGTCGTTCAGTTGGAACCCAACTTCGGGGCGGAAAGTCACCTTCTTGTCTGATGCAGCGAGCTCAAAGGCTACCTCCATAGCGGAGGAACTTGCTGTCCCTGTACTAAACTCGAAGAGACCCGAACCAAGGCCTTGGATCGAATACGCGTCCCATGTCGCTGTAAATTCTTCATCGCTCTCATCCTCCAAATGCACCAGATGGGTGAACTCTCCCCCTTCTGCCTCATCACCCCCATCTAATGGCCTCCTGAACAAGTGTACCCTGCTTTGTTCGCCGGCGCCCTTGACAGGGCCCAAAGGAGCCCCGTTGTCCAACAGGAGGCGAATACGGTTTATCATCGAGATTTCCTCCGGAATATCGTCAAATGTCAAAAAGCCCCATTTCCGAGCCTCATGTTTGACCAAAGCGACCAAGAGAGACCACTTATCCCTGTAGAAGGCTCTTCCAATTGTGGAATCAGCTCGGGCGCCAGCATCAATCAACATCTGCATGCAGTTGACATCCCTCAGGTGAGCGGCAGCACCGAACAGTGCTCTAGTCAGGGCTTTGTGGTTGCTTCGGGAGCCTTGTCTCGGATTTGGCGGTATGCCCCTTTCCAGCAAAAGTTTCACGAGCTGGGTCCGTCTCTTCTGCTCCCTAACAAATCCGTCGTGCCCCTGCCAAGGAACACCTGATGGATAGTCTTCGATGTCGAAAGTGCACGCGTCAAGCATACTCCGGGGACGAGTGCCATTGTCATGGACAAGAGCAAGCGTAGGGTTGGCCCCACGCTCAAGTAGAAGTATGGCAACTGGGACAAACTCCCCGCTTGTTGCCATGGACGAGAACGGTGTTCGTCCCATGTTGTCTATGTGGTTGGCATCCACACCTCTGTCGAGAAGTCTTCGGCACAGCGGTAAGCAAGCGCCATCAGAAGAGTCGACGGCCAAGTGTAGGAGATTACGGCCTGATTTGTCGGTGGCATGGATGTCCACTTCATGACGGTTTAGCATGACGTCGAAGAGTTCGACCTCTGCGTTGGCGACAATTTCAAAAATCGCCGGGTGCCCCTTTGCAGAGTCTCGAGCTCCGCGTTCGATGAAAATTCTTGCTATTGCCACGGCGTCTCCATGCCCTTGACCATGAGAAAGTGCAATATGGAGGGCGCTGACACTATCAGCATCCTCGAGGCAGTCACAGCTTCCTTGAGCCGTCGCATGGAGATCTGCTCCATGCTGCAACAGGCATTCTACAATTTCACGCCGACGGAAGAACGTCGCACATTGAAGAGGCGTGTAGGATAGTTTTGGGGCCGCAACATTGACGGCTTGCATTTCGACCACATCTTCGGTCATGTCCAATGCTTCCAGGACGGAGGCGATATCCGACATGGCAACCATGAGCGATCCATCTTCGTCTGCATCCACTTCTTCATCTTCTGCTGGCTCTGGATGATTCCAGGCAGCTTGATTTGCTGTGACGATCTCATTGTCCGCGACAACAGCCTCTTCTCTCGCTGGCTGTGCATGATTCCAAGTAACTTGATTTAGTGTAAGCATCTCACCGTCGTATGGCCATGCGGCATGCTGCTCCTCGCGCCTAGCAAAGAGAAACGGTGCAGGGATTGCCAACGCGCGAGTATTCACATCAGCCCCAAGCTCCAACGCCTTGCGAATAGTGTGGATGTTATTAGACTGAATCGCAAAAAAGATGCATGACTGATGAGGAGCATCCTCCTTGGCGTTGCGCGAATAAAGCAGCTGATTGAACAGGTCGTAGCATAGATGGTTAGCCTTGGCTAGGTTGCTCAAATCAGACTTTTTGCATGCGTTTCCCACGGCGATGAGGACGTCGTATGGCAGCGACTCGAAGATAGACATGGTGTTCCTAGGATCTTCTCTCGCGCCTTAGAATAGTACAGATTGTCTCGTGATGACTAGTTTAGTTCGCTCGAGATGAATGATGGCACGCGACTGCTGCTGAGATGATGAGATGAAGAGGGAGCAGGGTGTCGACATGTGATGGTGAGAGAGAGAGAGAGAGGGGTTGGGCCAAGTCAGGCGTCCAGTGTGGCTGATGTTGTATTATTGCTGCCTGCTTAAACTTGGTGACGACGGTGGCTGGGCAGCAATCACACCTCATTGTGTCGCCAATAACACGGCAGGGAACATTCACTTTGCACTCTATTGGCTCCATTTTATGCATGATCAACTGTCAGCGCTTGCTTCGGCATTTCATAAGACCATAACTGTGAGACTTGTGAATGGTACTTGCATGTGATGGAAATGTGAGACAACGAACTGCAACACGCCGGAGAGAGATATTGTGAACCAAGAATGGCACCGTATGTCAACAGAATCAGGCCCATTGCATAACAAAGAACGGATATTACTGCCTGAAATGATCTCTAAATAGGCCTCATATGCAGAGTTAAGGAAGGTATTTATAACCACTACAACCTCGGTCATTCAGAACTAGGTTCACATAATACCATGGTCTAAGGATAACCTTTCCGTGCTATCTTTGTCACTCAAATAATACATTTAGTCGCTCACGGTCCCAACAGGATTCCTATCAGAAACTTGATTAGGAAATGCCAATGCCAGAGAACCAATTGAAAAAAAAAAGGACAAATGTGAAATGGAGAACAAGCTTTTACTATAGATACCATTCCCTTTCCTTCGTTGATATCATGAGCTAGAACCACACCTCTTCCACCGATCCAATTTCTTGCTCAAATATGCCCGCATGTCACTATAATGGGCCGAGACGTTGATGCAATCCATTCTTGTCTTTTCTTTAGCAAATTTCTGATTGAAAGGAGATTTCGCGAGGTTAGAAATGTACTACACTTTGTCTGTTGCCGCAACTCAAGACGCATCTCTACGAATTACAAGCGGATGTCAGGTTTGTTATGCAATTCATCCAGAGCATCGGCGATAATGAAACTGCTCTGAAAGCGTTTTGTTACACCTACGAGGATGTCTTTGAGGCGTTTTGTATTAGCTGTCCGTATTGCCTCCGGGTCTGTGATGCAATCCAGCGCTCCCTTCACATAATACATGAATTGATTGAGCATGCAGGAAAGAAATGTAATGCTCCCTTAGAAATCATGTCCTTGTAGCCGACGGCAGTAGTCCCAATTCCTTTAGTGGATTGATCTGCAAGGTGGTGGTGTACACTTTCCGTCTTGGTCATGATTATAGTGAATGTACGGTTAACGATCTCATGAGTCTTAGCCTTGACCTGCCCTCGCTTGAAATCATCGCTCATATCCTAGACTACCAATATCCTAAAACAGCTAGTTTGACACCAAGGTGGCATTTATTTGCACTGACCTCCATTCAGAACATTCTTCAACGTCGGCCTACGTACGACTAGGTCTAATACTTCTGATGAATAAATATGCATATGCTGCCGCTGACATGGAAGCAAAGCCGTCCCATTCATTATTTGCAAACTTGTGCGAATCAGCATAGTTTGAAATCCCTCGGATTATAAATGATGGCAACGTATCCATTAGCCCTGCCGCTTCCATCTCAACGCAACGAACACCTAGAGCAGCTAGCTCGTCACGTTTCGCTTCATCTTTGACAACTGAGTCGCCAGATGAGATCAGCCCTAAATGTGCTCTGGCCACTTCTCGGTCTCGGTGATGCCACGACTCCACGTGTAACTCAGGGCAGACTTCTTTACACGACTTCCCTTTGATGGGGTGGGGGAAGGATGACTTGTAGAGCCTGTCCAGGGACTTTGATGGTCTCTTAAATCGGGGTCTGTCCTCCTCAGTGAGATTTTCCAGCGCTATTTTTACCATTTTTTCAAGCAGGTCGAGGTTTTCAGAAAGCTGCATATCAAGATCATTCGCTATGCTGATAGCAAACGGTGGCGGGTTATTTAAATGGCCTGTATGCTCAAAGACACCGCCCGAGTGAGCTTTCCCCCTGTCATGCTCGAACACTGCCCCAAATCTGCCTTGTGGACTGCTCACAACGACATCGCCAACATGGACACGAACTCGATCTTGTTCGACCGGAATCCCACCCCCAATACCGACCATCAGCAGAAGCTTTACATTCTCAAACGTCCTGGCCAGATGGGTAGCCGTTGCGGTAGCCGGTGACTTGCCCGTCTCGGGCATCTGAACTACTACCACGTAGCGCCCAGCCAACTTTCCTAGCTTATAGCGATTGAAGTCTCTTGCGTCCACATCTATGGATTCAGGATCGTACCTCTCCTCTAGGAACGAGCATGTGGCAATTATCTCGTCTCTCAGTGCACAGAGGATTGCGATTTTGTATTCTGACACATCCGGGCCCTTGACGTAAGCGCCTTCACGTATTTTCGCCAGGAGTGCTTCAATTTCCTTCATAGCTTTCAGAATTCAATGAGCCTCGTAGTATGTCTCTAGTCGGCCGTGGTAACAACAGGTTGTAAGTGATTCGGCGTTGAAAAGATTGGTGTAATTATTGTTACGGCGGGAAAGACGGTGATTGATTGCAGATGAGTAGCATATTAGCAAGATCCTCCTACATGAACTTAGCCTCGTAGAATGCCTACTCCTAACATATGTGGCTACGCGCCTTGCTAATGCAACCGGGTTTCAGCTTTCAGGCAAGAGTGAGGCGATGCCGCATCGTTTCCGTCAGCTGGAGGTATCACATTGCAGCACACACAGCACAGCCGCCAATGGGTGTAATCTTACATGCAGGAGAATGTGTATTTACTGGGGCCTATGGGCGAATCATTGTGTGTGTTTAACGCCGGGGGGGAAGGGCGTGTCTATGGACGAATCATGTCCAGTAGTGAGACATTTTCCAACATCCCTGGTCATACAGCCAGCAAACGTAACATCCCAAATGGAAACCAGGTTGCGGTACGAATACAAGCTTACGCAATTCGGCGCCAGCTTGACTCCGTGTGAAGTTTACTCCATGTCCAATGAAAGCCCAGCCGCCTATCCCATGCTTTCGGCGGCATGGATGTCCCTGGTGAGAGTTGTAGCTAAACCCTTTCCATCGGTCTCAAACAAATTTGCGCTTGTGCAGATGTCAGGAGCACGCCGCACGCAAGATAGTCTTCAAATCTTGTTGGATTCTGAATCCCAATTAAATGGTATTAAATATGATTACCAGAAGTTCAATCTAATTAATTTTATATTCAAAATAAAATTTTCAATAAATAAATGATTAATAGTTTTAATAAAAATTATGTTATTAAGAAAATAGAAAATAAAGAACAAGTACCAGCGGCAGGTTGCAATTATGATAAAATATATTCTCTGCGTGAATCTAACTTTACTCCTCGAGGCAATGAATGCTCAAGAAGTAATATGCAAGGCCGGCATTGCGGTGACTGGACTTGAGGCAAAAATCCAACTGGAGCATCAAGGTGTTTACAGGAGCCAGGCAATGAAGTGGCGATAGAACCAACGTCCCTTACTCTTAACTTCGTTGGCTTGAGCGGCCTGAGAAGCGGCCTGGCGTGCAAGAAACTCTTCCTCCTCTCGATCAATTAAATCCTTCCCAGAAAATAAATCAACTTCCTCGGGCTTATAACCCTTCGTCTTGTAGACGATCTTGTAGCCAAAGATAAGAACTAAGAAGATGGGGATGCCCAAGTACCCAGTAACGAAAGAGGCTGTGTCCCAGTTTCCCTTTGTGAAGACCTCAAGGTTTTTGCATAGCGCGATCAGAATGCACATAAACAAGGCGCCGTACGATCCCCAGACACCAAGTGGTGCAGCATAGGGTAGCATTTCGTTGGTTACACCCTGAGCCTTGCGAGCTCGACACCAGTGGATGTGGGTGACGAGGATAGCGATCCACGACAGGAGACCGAAGATTGTGTTGAGATTGACGAAGTAGGAGAACACCTTCTTGGAATCATTGGAAACGTTCATGAAAGCCAGGAGAGAGAAAGCGACCGAGAGGGCCAGCGCATAGACAGGAACGCCACGTCGATCAGTGCGCTTGAAGATCTTTGGAGCAAGTCCGCTGGAGGCAAGGGCATAAAGCGTACGACTCGAAATGTATAAATCAGAGTTAGCGGCAGAGAAAACGAAAATGAGGATGCACCCGTTCAGGATCTGAGAGACAGCCTTGACACCTGCAACCTCAGCAGCAACAACGAATGGTGAAGCCGCAGCACCTGTTGAGGCTTTGTTTACAGCAAAGATGAGTTTCTCCGAGTTGTATGGGACGAGCATTCCCACCATGAGAACGCTTCCACAGTAGAAGAACAAAATTCGGTAAAAGGTGAGTCGAATAGCACGAGGAATAGTTTTGCGCGGGTTCTGAGCCTCGGCAACAGTCACGCCAACTAACTCTGTTCCAAGGAAAGCAAAGACAGCTGTAACCATGCAGGACCAGAATCCCAGAAACTGGCCAGCACTTCCGGTGTCAATATATTCCTTAAAAGCGCTATAGATGTATTAGCATGTTTTACTATTTTGGCAATGAGTAGGCTTGCGGGTAACTTACCCAGGACTGTGCCAATATCTAAATCCAATTGCCTCGCCACAAGGACCCCCGCCGCAAGTAATCACGAGAGAGAATAATATTATTCCAATGATTGTGAAGACTTTTAGGGAGGACAGCCAAAACTCGATTTCCCCAAAAAAGCGAATTCCAAAGTAGTTGATAAAGGTGATTGTGACCAGAAAAACAGCGATGAAAACACCAGGATTGACCTTGTCCCTATCTACCCAGTATTGAAGAACAAGGGCACCGGCAGTCAACTGGTTTGGGCAGACGATAATATATTTAAACCAATAACTGCAACAAGCATGTGAGCGCTCATAATTCCTGGCCGGCTAGCAACAACGACTTAAATAACTTACCACCAGCCCAGAGCAAATCCAAGAGCGGGATCACAGAACCGAGCAGCATAACCGGAGAAGCTGGATGACATTGGCAACCATGCAGCCATCTCACCCACGGCAGACATGAGCAGGTAGACAATGAAGCCGACGATCGTGTATGAGACAAACACAGAACCAGGGCCGGCTTGAGCTAAAGCCTTTCCTGTGCCAATAATTAAACCAGTACCGATCGCGCCACCAATCGCGATCATGGTGATATGCCGCGCCTGCAAGCCACGGTGAAGACTTGTTTTCGGGCTTGTCTCATGGCCTACGACGGCCTTTTCGTTGACATTCTCGTAATCGAAAGTGTCGTTTTGGAGGCTGGGAGGACTGACGATGTCATCCCGTATCGGTGATATCTTCTCCGGCATTGTGACTAAATGTATTTGTTGGTCTTAATTTGACTTATGGGTTGGTAGCCAGGGAATAAAAGGACCTATGAGATGCAGTGATGCTCATATGGAGAAGATACTACCGGGGACGCTCTCCCTTTCATTCTTATAGGTACCATCACCCTTGAAGGAACTCCCCGTTATCATCCCTCGCCAGGGTATTGGGGCTTTAACCCCGCCTGATGCTTGCTTGATAAGAGAACATGGAGTCCGCCCCCCGCATACCATGCTGGTCGTGAGGTTCCAGCCTGGTGGGGAACATCCGGTCATGGAATCTCGAAGCTCCACCAAACTCTAGAATTTAACAATGGCATTTTTCTAACATGGACTTATCTAGACATTCGTCGGAGTACCTGTTTACTTAGAGGAGCAGAGTAGAGACTTTCCGATAAGTACGGCTGGCTTGGAAGTCGGGAAGTCATTCCAGAGAGATACTGACTATTTAGTGGACTATGCTATCCCAAGGCATTTCTAACAAATCTAATACCGATTGGCCAGTCGTATTTGCCTCCATCCACTTTTCCATTCAATTCTGATTGGTTTCTAAGCACGACATTAACGGACCAGCCCCAAGCGGTCATACGAGGAGAGGCCAACTAACTAGGTGACAGATGGGAGACCAACTCTCCCATTGGCTATTGATCCTCTCTTATCATGCTGAGGCCTTTCGAGCAAGTCTTGGCACCACGCCCTGCCGATCCCCAGTTCATCAAGCTGAATTGGGGATACGGGAGCGACACTACAGAAGAATCAACAGGAGGCCCCTTGTCTCTTGGTCAATACGTCCTGCAGTAGGCTTAAGTCGGGTATAATTATCAGGCTCTGAGACTTATCCTCGAATGAATCCCCGCTATATCTCGTTCCACCGGCATCAAACACAGGACACACCCATCAACGCAGAACGGAACATTTGGTTTTAGTAGCACCCTCAGAACATCGGTAATTGAACAAAAGTCACACGTTATAATTTATATGATCAGGTTATGTCGAAACAGACATGTACGCATCGTATCTACCATCTCTACAACATTTATCATGTCTCGGATCCTCATTGCTTCCTTCTTCGTTCACGCATATCATGTTATAATACAATCATTTGAGCGTGAGTTTGTTCATATCCAAAAGGTAGAGAACACTCATTCACTGAATCTCCCTAAAAACGATATCCAGACTTTGAATTCTATCTAGTCTTCAGGCCAGACTACCAGTGCGATGCTGAGACACCGAACTCATTGTATCTAACACACAGTTGATAGAGTTTTTAATACGCGCTTACACGTTCCACCCTTCTGAGGATTCCATCATCAGGCCTATTAATTAATTACACTATTAGCAGCTTGTTGAGAACATCATATGACAAATCTTACCGAAATCGTGGTTTGAGCGCGTCAAGCATATCCTTCCAGGTGGCTGCCTCCTCCCACTTCCACACACGGTCTTGGATGCTCGTAACATAGATAACGCGGGCCAAAGCGCAACAACCAACTACAAAGGGGATTGTTTGCCCAGCAGAGTCAAGTTCATTAAGGCTGTTAATGCCGTTCCAGGAGATTGTCAATTCCGTTGCGACGATGATAACTGCGCAGACTAGTAGTTTGGCCAGACAGTACGATGCCTTCATTTTGCTCGACTTGTATATGAGATCTTAGCATACTTATTGGGATCTTAAATTTATTCGTCCAGGGGGATACTCACCCATAATTTCTGGCTTAGCTTGTCAACAAGTGGGGAGCGTTTTGGTTGAAAAAAGGAACTGATGAAGTTCAATAGCACCACCACTAGGAGGACTCCATAGAGGATTCCATGTGTCACTCGGAAGGTGATCTCGTCTATTGTTGTCTTGTTAAAGGCGAAACCGTACGCTTTGCAATTCCCGAATTCAAAACTCTGTGACCAGAACCAGAGTTGGAAGAGAGATACCGCGGTGAGTAGCAAGCAGCTGAGTCGAACGGCCAGTAGACTTGGCCTCACGGGGTATTCCACATTGAGCGGCGTGAACATGTTCCAGATGAAAACCACCACGAGGAAAAGACTAGAGCCAAAACATAACAGTAGGACGATATAAATGTCCACGGGCTGGATAAACTCCGTCTTCCGATCAGATTTGAGCGATGTTTTGGCTATTTGCACAAGAATGGCGATGAACTCAGCGGTAACGAACGATCCATTCGTGATCCGGATCGCAAAAAACTCGGAGTGTAAATGCCTAGGTTGATTACATGGCTTCTTTTTGTCGAAGAGCTCACATATAATCAAGCCCACCCATTGGATGTAAAAGCCTAGCCGTATACCAAGGCCATACAGATCCTTGTTATCACGGAAAGCTGGGCACACTTCAGTCTTGCTATCCATCCCGATACTCAATGCAAAGACTCCTATAGGTATCCAGTGGTAGCCAGGGTTGAATGCGTCACACTCGGAATAACCTGGACAGCTAGAAGGGAACCATTTCTGGGGCCCCATGCGACTTAGCCACCTGACACAGGTATCAAGAGGCATCGTGTTTATTAGCAATGGCTAGACTGACGTCACCCGTTACGTGGCCCAGTTGGGTAAGAATAGATTGGTGGCTATGTCTTAAGTCAGTCACAGCTGTGTGACCCAACTGCAGTTGCTTATGCAGGTTTGCTGTGCCATCTCTGCCCCAACAATCCAAACTCTCACGTTCAGAGAATGAAAGGAATATCATAGACATCACATATGAGTTTTTTGCGCCGTGTTGGATATATTTCACGCGATAGATGACTTGATGCTTACTTCAAATCACTGCCAATGGATACCTTAGGATGTATTCGAGAAATGACCTCGCTAACCCGACATTTACGGCGTACTAGGGCCAAATATTTCTTTGTCACTCCCACCAGGCTCTGTGCATCAGCTTTGATCAGCCCATCAGAGAAAACATTCTCACCTCAGACGACAATCCGCTATGCTGCACACGCTGACTCACTACTTCAATCCTAATTTGTACTATGACTGCGTCTCTACCAGGAATAACCAAGCTAATATTAGCTGTGCGTATTTCACACAACATATTTGTGCAGCTACCAATAACAGTATGTCTTGAGCATTATCATTACTCGTCCCCCACTGTATCGATATACCAACCATTGGACTCGTTATACTGGTCCTCTTCTGTTGTGCCGTGTAGATTCTTATAGACTTCCATAGGACCAGACTTGCTGCCAAAAAGATTCCCTTTCAACAGGCTCGACACACGCTCCCCAGCTTCTTGTCCCTCAAACCAAGCTCCGTGGAGGAATCCAAAATGCTGTGTTGAGGTTGCTTCACCAGCGAACCAAAGGCGGTCCACGTTGGCTCGGAGGTTTTGGTGTCGCTCCAGCGTAGTGCCCAGGGGCCAGTTACTGAATGACCCGAAGGAGAATCTATGAAGTGGACAGTCAGCACTTGACACTTGACGGTAAATTTGCCTATTTACTATCTTCAGACGCTCCAACTTACTCATTCTGGCTCCAGCGTGGGTACATAAACGCTGTTGGTTCTGGGATATTCACCCCTGGGAACATGGAGCGTAATACCGCCAGGACTTCAGCCTTGGTCTCTTCATCAGTCTGCTGCTCGACTACCCATGACTGAGCATTTGTGACTGTAACAAAAATCAGATTGGACCCTTCGTGAAAACCTGGGCCAGTCAAGGATTGGAAGCCAGTGTATCTTCCGCGCTCATGTGGATCGGCATAAAGCAAATACTGCTTTTCAGAATCCCAAAACGTCTCATTGAACTGCATGAATATTTTTGTGTATGTGCCCATCGTGAAAGATTCAATTGCCTCCTGCTTCCATAGAGGGAGCTCAGGTTCGAACTTGACAACGTCATTCTGAAGCACACCGACCGAGAACGTACAAATTGCGTACTCAGCCTCGATACAGTCTCCATTCTCAAAGAGGACCTCAACCGAGGTGTCTGTGTATTTGATTGATTTGACAATAGTGTTGAGGAGGAGCCTTGAATCCTGGTCTTGGAGGAACGTTCTTGCCTCACCGTTGACCATTGTGTTGAATCCACGCTGGTCCCAAACGAAGCGATCCTCTTCGCTGAAATGGTTGTACGTGGCATTGTAGACTCCAGTCATTCCAAAGACCAGGCTGGCATCTTCAGGAGGTGTGGCGGACTCAAAGTCCCATCCAAACCAGTCCACGGCCTGGGCGTGCATGTCCTTCTTATGCGGCCTCCAACCGGCCAAGCTCAAGCCAGCGCGTACTGTAATGTCTTGGAGGTTCTCAGTCAGATACCTTCCAGACTCAACCTGGGCCCCTTCCCAGGCCTCTTCATACTCATCGATGAGGTTCTTGTAGTCCACCTGACCAGTCTCGTCATACGTGATGACAGATTTGGAATCGGTAGGGGTGTTGTCAAGGTTATACTTCTGGGCCAAAGTCCAGATTGGATTTTTGGGGCCATCACCCTCTTGAATCCCATGCACCCAATTCGCCCCGAGCTCAACGGCGTAAGGAGTTCCGTCGGACTTCTGGCCGAATGTAGTGTTCACTACTCGACCTCCGATGTAGTTGTTACGCTCCACAATGATAAAGTCGGTCACCGAGGCGTTTGTCAAGGCTTGCGCAGCTGTAATTCCGGCGACACCAGCGCCAAGAACGGCAACTTTGGTCTTGCGACAAATTTTGGTATCGTCACGGGGTTGTTTTGGGATTGCGGCAGCTTCAACGCCACAAAGGACGAGAAGTCCCGCCTCAATGGTATGCTGAAAACGCATATTTGTCCAAGGCGTGCAAAAAATGATAGAAATGGGAATAGGGACAAGTATGAGGACACAGAAGCGTTTGAGAAAGAGCTACTCCTCGACTTCACAGATTCATCTTTGGGGGACGTATGCCCGCCTTATACAGGAAACTTGACGGGACTAAAGCTGCTGCTTGATTCAACTGCGGACACCGACACCGGCTGTTCATCGAGATACCAACCCGATCCTTCAGTTTTCTTGGTTGTCATCTAGCTGAAATATGCACATTTGCGTAACTACACATCGTGCTAAGTAGTCACTCTAGCCAATGAATTACTTCGCTCCCATAAACCGCTACATATTCATCTTATGGCGTTTGGTCTATACGAGCCAACTCGGGCATTTTCTACTATATCGATATGGTTGTCTCAGCTGCATAAATACGCCAGAGCCCAGACAAGAAAGTATGAGGTAGTTATCTCCCGGCCAAGCCACTAACTGCTCGGAATTGGACACACCGATACCTAGTCATGACGAGGGCCTGCATAAAAGTTTTCGATCTGTCAACTTAAGATACAAGCGATGCACAAACGAACTGTTCCGCGGTTTGTCTTTATTAGTGCCATAACGCGGGAGATTAAGTTGGCATTCTCACCTTGGCATCGAAAGACATCACGACTGATTTCGGCCGGACAATTGAGGCGAAGCAATACCACAGTACACGCACGGGTATGACCGTGCGGGGCTTGAAACTTCACCGATGCATGAGGGGTCTGCGGATGCCTTCATGCACTTGTGCCTAAGCTTCAATGCAGTTAGTCATGAGACACGGCAGACCACAGATCCAGCGGTCAACTGCCGTGTCACTCGGCGGTCTAGACCTTAGGTAGGATTATTTCGTATTTTCGTCATGTTCTCCAGTCAAGTGAAAAATCAGGGAACGTAAAGGAAACAGAGTTATTAGTCGCACTGCCAGGACATAATTTGCCAGTGGTTAGTACTAGTACGGATAAATTGTCCCAATGAAAATTTTCTTTATGAAGAGACAAATGTACTCCTTCGCCCACGAGATAGCCAGATCAGGTGCTATTATATGCAGCAGGTAGCATGCACAGAGCTTGTCACAGGAGCCCATGAATGCCCGTTAAAGGCCCTCCCTCTTCTTTTGCTACTGTGTGACTTCCATCGAGAGGCCACTGCATCCATAACTTCCATGAGTCATCGACGTTGCAGCTTACTTTATTTCTCGGCCCCAGCCGAATCTTGATGTTGTGACGATGATGGGAACTCATTTCATCCACCCCTACAAATGTGACACTGAGGGATGGTCACGGGTCCCGCAAAATCCTGAACACGTTGGATCTTGGCACAGCATGTAACTCAGCATGCAAGCCAAGAGAAAAGTTAATACCGGATAAACTCAAGACATAACCTGCGCAAGTTTTCCTACGTACTTCAAGTAAGATTACTCACCTGTTGGAGAAGTACAGCGATCTTATGCTGTGTTCAGAGTCGTCGTGTCCAGCATTCTCCTAACTGGGAAACGCCAATTAATGCCTTGATCGGTCCAATTTTTCACCGTAAATAACGTATGATTTATCATGACTTGGCTATGAAGATGCGATCATCGATCCGTTCCAGTTTTTAAAACACCAAAGACTGCCTCATTGCGCATGAAGGAAACTAACATAAAATTTCGGCCTCTAGATTCTTCTCCCGCCGGGTAAAGGAACAAGTAATCTTGAATGCGGCCTGTCAGTGAATAGGCTGCGATCCTGGGTGCAGGTCATGTTATACCATTGTGGCCATGTCACCGGCCCATTTAATAATACCTGCCGCATGCTTTGTAGGCTTGCTTGAATCACATCTACTATCTGGGTAAGTTAACCGCATGTTCAATGGCCTGTTCATCCTGAATGGCAGCCAACGCCCGGTGAAAGACTCGTGCCAGACATGGACCTCTCGCCGCTGGGGCTTGATATGCCGAGTTCTATTACGTACTAGACCTGATCTCCCGGATAATTGTGGCATACAAATTACTAGTTGATACATGTATTCGGCAGCACCTGCTCCGAGGATGCTTGATTCGGATCTTGGGTGTGGGCCCCCATGCTCACATGTTGCATCGATACAACCGCCAGGAACAGCCTGGAGTTGGTTCCGCAAGGCCGAGGTTCTCCTTTTGGTCAAGATATTCAATTACCACAGTTTCTTTCCCAAGACGAAACACGGATACCAAGGGGCCCTTCTTGTCGAGTTTCCGGGAGCTTGGTCCATAGGAAACGATCGGCAAACTCGCACTCGGATGCAGCCGACGAACTCAACGATCCAAATGTGAGATCTGGATAGTTTTCTTAGCCGAAATATGCCACACAATTTCAACTACAGCCAAGGCGTTGCTGTATGTTGCCCCCCCGCTTTTCAGGAAGAGAAGCTGCTTGTATCCCCCCGCCTTTGCCCCAGCAAGGAAAGAGAACTTCCCGACAAAACGGCATGTGCTTCAATTTCGGGACTATTGATGCTAATTCCGGGGGCTTTATTGGACGTAGACCGTAAGTTGGCGTGCTGGCATGCAATGTGATCAATAAATCTCATTTTTGGTCTATGCCAGACGCTCCTCCAACTTCCGTGACCTTTCAGGCCTTCTTGGATTTCATATCGATTTCTCCGCATCCTTTGCCACATCCCTTGACCCCATTGGATGAAACCTTTGTAAACATGGGTCTGCATGACCTTTATTCAGTCATGCTGGGAGATTCTGGAGGCGAATGATGCTTGGGTGAGTAGTATCGGATCACATCTAGAGTTACTTCAAGTTGGTGTTTTAACCATTATGACCAAACAAAAGGGTTTCGTACGAGAATCCATGCAGTATAGAGAAGATTTTCACTTTTACATTGGAAGGCAACGTCTCCCAAATCAGACAGCGGAAGAAATAGTGCCTTGAATAAACCAACTTTAAAAGCTGCAATATTCCCACAAAAACCACCCACTTTCCGTGATCACAGCTTCTGCCGACAATCCGTTGAAGATTTCTTGTTTTCTCCCATTGCATGCTTTACTTCCAACACCAAGCTAATACATTGGGGACACGCACTGCCTCCACACATCATCGCCGCGCCGACAAGCCGTCACCCGGTCAGACGATAGACTGGTCCGTTTATGTCCTGTGACGGGAACCGCTTCCAAGATCCAGGAATATCCTCGGCACGTCCTGCGAGGCACACAGAGTAAACCCTCTTGGCGGGCCGAGTGCGGGCGCTTTCGTCTGATTTCAGGATGTGCAGGTAACGTGATAGGCGGATAATGGAAAGATCTTGCACATTTTCCCGCCCCGGCCGGCCCCTGACCGGAAAGAGGAGCCTTGATTAATCAGGATCATGCAGAGTAGGAACAACATGCCCTCTCGTCCTATGTGCATGAGTCGTGCAAGTGTTCTCTCAGTAATTACCGCTTCTCTACGCTTGGTGTGCCCCCGCACAGCCCCAATGTTCTTGCGTTTCCGCTCGCTTGACTACCCGGCGGCCTCCTCGCGTTAAACAGGTTCACAATGTTGACTATGTCAAGCCACAGACGGAGCGTCGGACCGCGGAGCCTTCAGAGACGAATATAGCCTCGACGTGTTCTCATCAACTGGAGATGAGTATATAAAGCCCTTCGATACCGCTCTCTAGGAAATCCTCTTCAATCCAACCTCATCATCTCAAGCACTTTCTACAAGCCTTCAGAGCAAAGAGATAGCAAGTGAAAATGCACCGCAAGATCGCAGCCATTGCGGCCTTCATCGCCGCCGCCAGCGCGCAACAGGCTTGTACAAGCCAGGCTGAGACTCATCCTCCTCTGACATGGCAGACTTGCACAACCGGCGGCAGCTGCACCACCAACTCCGCCAGTGTCGTCCTTGATTCCAACTGGCGATGGACTCACACCGTTGAGGGCTCTACCAACTGCTACACCGGCAACAAGTGGGACACCTCCATTTGCACCAGCAACACGGTTTGCGCTGAGAAGTGCTGCGTTGATGGCGCCGACTACCCTGGCACATATGGTGTCACTACTTCCGGCAGCCAGCTGAACCTCAGACTTGTCACTGAGCACACCTACGGGAAGACAATCGGTAGCCGTGTCTACTTGATGCAGGCTGGTTCTGATACTCAATACCAGACTTTCGATCTCCTGGGCAACGAGTTCACCTTTGACACGGATGTTTCCAAGCTTGAGTGTGGCCTGAACGGCGCCCTATACTTTGTGAAGATGGAGAAGGACGGTGGCGTGGCCAACTATAGCGGAAACAAGGCTGGTGCCAAGTTCGGAAGTGAGTTGCCTAGTAGCCAATACGTTGTTCAAGAAATTTGGCTAACATCAATGAAGCTGGCTACTGTGACAGTCAGTGCCCTCGCGATGTCAAATTCATTGGTGGACAGGTAAGTCTTCCACCTCTCAGAGTCGAATCTCCCCAAATTCAAACTCAAAACTTATATATGAATAGGCCAACGTTGAGGATTGGGTGTCAGGTGATGGCAACCCCGATTCTGGTGTCGGTGCCCTTGGTGCTTGCTGCGCCGAGATGGATATCTGTAAGCTAGTTTCCAGTCAACGCTCTCAGAGGCCAAGATTTGCTGACCACAAGACGCATCGAAACAGGGGAGGCCAACAAGATCTCCACCGCCTATACTCCCCACCCATGCCAGAACAACAACTACCATGTCTGTGACGGTGATTCATGCGGCGGAACCTACTCTGCCGACCGCTACGCCGGCGACTGTGACCCAGATGGCTGCGACTTCAACTCATGGAGACAGGGCAACAAGACCTTCTACGGACCTGGCAGCAACTTTGTCGTTGACACAACTAAGAAGGTCACCGTTGTCACTCAATTCCACACTTCTGGAGGCTCCCTGAGCGAGATCACTCGTCTCTACGTCCAGGACGGCAAGGTCATTGCCAACTCCAAGGACCTCCTCGGCACTGGTGGTAACTCCATCACCCAGGGCTGGTGCGAGGACATCCGCGACGTCTTCACCGACAGAGACAGCTTTACCGAGAAGGGCGGACTTGCGCAGATGGGCAAGGGTCTCAACGGCATGGTTCTGGTTCTCAGTCTCTGGAACGATGTAAGTTCTAAAGAAACCCGATATTCCAAACCCTCTTAAAATGGTAAAACTCACTGTCTCCTAGTTCTACGCCAACATGCTCTGGCTTGACTCCAACTACCCAGTCGACTCTACCAAGCCCGGCGCTGACCGTGGAAGCTGCCCCACCAGCTCTGGTGCCTATCCCGATGTCATCAACAGCAACTCTGGCGCTACCGTCTCTTTCTGTATGTGATCAAAGATTCTCAAAAGCCTTTCCATTTACCATGTACTTTAGAAGCTAACGCAGCATATATAGCCAACATCAAGTTCGGTCCTATCGGCTCTACTTACGGTTCTGGCACAACCAACCCAGGAACCAGCACCACCGCAAGAGCCACCAGCACCACTACCTCCGGCGGCGGATCCCAGCCCACTGGCACTTCGCCTATCTACGGACAGTGCGGAGGCAGTGGCTGGACTGGCCCGACTTCCTGCGCCTCCGGCAGCTGCTGTACCGTCAACAACGCTTGGTACTCTCAGTGCCTCCCTTGCTAAATCAAGCTGCTTCTAAAGCGGTCATGGTTTGGGAAGCTTTTGGGAGCCTCTTCGGCAATTGACTCTGTTGCTAGTGAAGATGATGGGGAAGAGATAGTGTTTCCTAGTAGGATAGTCTCAGGTAAAAAGAAAATACACGAAATTTGGATTATTCTTTCAACTCAATACCCTCCCAACTCGTGGTCTTTGCTACGTAACATATACAATAGGAAACTCATTACGAATGTGATTTGATTCACTTCCAGACGCCAACATCCTTCGCAAGGCCGAGTATTTTTGAACCTCCGTCCAACCTATCTGCTTCTTTCCTGAGAAGTTCAGCTCGGAATCTCCGGAACGCTTGTTCGATCCGCTTCTGGCTCTCCTGATTTCTCTGGAGAAGCCGGTCGGCAGAGTACGTTCCTGTGAGGAACCCGGTCTCTCCACCAAGGAACAACCCGCCAACTCCCACTAGGAAGTATGTCGCAACATCGCCAGCGACAGAAGGTTGTAGAAACGGGTTCAGATCAGGGATTGGAACTGCGAAAGTAAGTTTAGTGACTTAGTAGGAACAAGATCAGGCCTCGAGCTCACCTATTTTTCCATCCGCGAACTGCACGTGGGTTGGTTTCTCAGCCGCGCGCAACGCTTTGAATGCGTTGGCCCGTCCCCTTCGGAGTCGGTAGGCAAAGAGGATGCCAAGTCCCAGACCGACAATGGATCCAAGCGTGGCGTGAGTGCCGACTTTCGCGACCGACTGCTGCAAGATCTCGCGGTCGGAGTCTTGAAGGTCATGCTCGAGATGTTTCTCAGCCAGTTGAGCCAGATCATTCGATCGGCCAGTTCGGCGGAATGCAGCAAAGGATTCGATCGACATGGTGAGGTTTAAGAAGGCAGCTTCGACAACTTTCACACATCAATCCTAGGATCAGAAAAGATTTTTCTCCCCCAAGGAGTTGAGATAAAGTTCCAAGCTGTGTCATCATACTTATGTCGTCGTGAAAGTCAATGACGTATTTCAGCGGCGATTGCCGGACTCCACGTTACTTCATTCCAGCCATGCGTATAATAAGTTGGCGTTTATTCCAAAAAAAAAATGGGAAGACTATGTTAGCCTCTTCATAAGTTCACGAGAATATTCAAGCTCTAGATATATAATTCGGAGGTTTATATCGTCCTTTTTTGGTTATTTTAACAGGTGTCTAATGGCTTCACCAAGGCTTGAACTGTAATGCACCATTGCTGTAGTGATAACTCCTTCAAGAGTCTACCCAAAGTGTCGACCTTAATGATCATCCTATCTTTCACGTATTAGTCGAAGAAGGATCTTGTACTATTTATAACCTACCTCGCGCTTAGTCTGTATATACCACACCTTGATGGTGATTCCCTACGCGGGCTGGATATGTAGATTCAAGGTCTAGGGTAGCCATCGGCCACGGGCAAAGATGATTGATCGGGCTTGTCCGGCTCATCTTCGGACACTAACACTCTTAGAGCTTAGCCTTACTAAGACCCGGATTGATGACCCACATATCAGTCCCACACAGTCCCACTTCGTCTCTGTGCTGGACAGCAACAGTTGAGGTTGAAGAATAGGTTGAAGAATCAAACAATGAGAATGTTTAGGATAGTGCGACAAGGACCTTTAGCATCTGAGAATAATGGGGGTACCCAGCATAGAGCCTAAAGATAGAACAAAATACAGCTCGAGATAAATTTCCACAAAGGTTTGATTGCTACATGGAAGTTCGGATGTTTGATGCAAGGCGATATCTGCACAGAGTATGTCGCTCCAACCCTCTTGTCCAATTTTCTCATTCTCCGTTTACCCCTAAGCTAGACTAACATGAAAGATAACGATCATACAACTAATGCACTGTAGTGGCGAAAATACATTGACTATCAGGGGTTGCGTTACATCTGCCGGCCGACATAGCCGAGACACCTCTGAGGTGGATTGTTTTGGACCATTTCATTGGCACATTCTCTAGAATACCCAACCTCAGACCATGTCCCATGGCCATTGCGCAATCGACACACGCGCCAATGTCGCCTATTATCTCCATCTTTGATATTTGTTGGCACGCGTACTCTCGCGGCTCTCACAAAAGTTCGATTGAAACAGGAAGGTACTGAGACCTAGAAAACAAAAAGTCGTCTATGTCGGCGGTTGACATACTCGGGCTCAACTAAACATCGCACCATCGATGGCTTAGTTAAGGTGAGACTTGGATGCATGGCACACAAAGGGATCATATATAACGATCTTTTACCCGACCTAGGCCATACTCGCATGAGTACGTGCAACCTTTTGTAGGTGTCCAAACCATCCTGTCCGGTTTCAATTCACATGCCTTGCCAAAATGTCGAAGGAAGTGAATGTCATCGATGGTCCACCCGAAGACTTGGGGGAAAAGAAGAATGCGACTGTGGTGCAGGAGCACCCGAAGGCGGATAGGGATTCACCGGGAGAACCTGAGGAAGACCACAGTGATGACTCCCGAGAGAGCGATACGACATATGTCAATGGTCACCCCGTCATTCGAGATGGTAATGGGACTTCTCATCACACCGCACCGGCTTTATTTTCAAAACATTCTAATATGTCCTCTTAGGATTTGACGTCTCGAAGTTCCTTATTTCCGTTCGAGATGACGGAGATCCAGCACTAACATTCAGATCTATTGTTCTGGGGTCAGTCTTCACCGCACTATCAAGTGTCATTACTATGCTCTACGTGTTCAAGCCAACATATATGCAGGTTTCATTCGTTTTCCTACAGTGTGAGTGCTGAGTAGGTCACAATGAAATCGGCTCCTTTGCTGATTCGCTTTTAGTGCTTGTTTACTGTTTCGGGGAAGCGTGGGCATATGTAACTCCTTCCCCTGAGAAGTTCAAGTCGAGGTGGATACGTAACATTCTCAAATTCCTGAATTTCGGTCAGCCCTTCGGTATTAAGGAGCATGTTGTGGCGGCACTTATCGCCTCGTCCGGTAACAACGGTCTGAATGGCGTCGAGGTGTACGCAGTTGAGCGGCTCTTTTACGACAAAAACGTCAACGCCCTAACGGCCGTCTTGGGCACATTTTCTATGTGCCTGTGCGGTTTCGTTTTGGCAGGAGTCCTTCGCCCGTTGATTGTGTACCCGGCTGAAATGGTGTATTGGAGCACCTTGCCACAAGTTGTACTCTTCCAGAATCTCCACTTTGACCGGCACGCCAACCGAGAGCGTTTGAGGAAATTCGGATGGGCTCTCTTGTTTGCGGCTGTGTGGGAAGTGTTTCCGGCTTATATCATAACCTGGTTTGGGGGACTATCAGTTTTCTGTCTTGCGTCGATGGGAGCATCCACGTCGACGAGGACTATTTTCTCAACTATTTTCGGTGGTGCCTCCTCCAACGAAGGGCTGGGGCTTCTCAATTTCTCACTCGATTGGCAATATATCCAGAGCACTTACCTCTCACTCCCATTCAAGCAGCAGTTTAACACCTGGATCGGATACGTGGTCTGGTATATCGCTATGCTTGGCCTTTATTACGGGAATGCTTGGAACGCTAAAGACTTCCCTTTCATGTCTTCGTCTCTGTTTCACAGCAACGGAACTGTTTTATCTACGACATCAATGCTTGATGATCAAGGCATCATAGACCAGGAAAAACTGGCCGAGGTCGGCATACCACATCTGACATCGAGTACAGTGTGGGGGTTCTTCTCTCAAAATCTCGCCATCGGTGCTTTAATTAGCCATGTTATTCTTTTCTCTGGCAAGGACATGATCCAAGCGTGGAAGCAAGCTCGCAACAGAACCCAACCCGACATTCACTATCAAGCCATGCTCAAGTATAAGGAAGTGCCGATGTGGTGGTACTGGGTACTGCTTGTTCTATGCTTCGTCGCCGGAGTCGTTGTCACAACAAAAGGCGACACTACGCTTCCGGTGTGGGGTTACATTGTTTCCCTGCTTCTGGGAGCTTTTATTGCCCCCTTTTCTTGCATTCTATATGGGCTTAATGGAAGCGGGGTCAGCACAAATCAAATCTCTAAGATGGTGGCTGGTGCGGTACATCCCGGCAGACCTCTTGCTAATCTGTACTTTGCTTGTTGGTCACACCAAGTGATTCTCCTTGCTGTCAACCTGGCCAACTGGCTCAAAGTAGGGCAATATACGAAGGTACCTCATCGTGTCATGTTCGGTACCCAGATTTACGGAACTCTCTTGGGGGCAGCCTTAAATTACGTTGTCATGACTACAGTTGTAACCAGCCAAAGAGAAATCCTCCTGGATCCAATTGGAAACTCCGTCTGGAGTGGATCGACCCTTCAAGGCTTCAATTCACAAGCGATCACATGGTCACTAGCAAAGGATATGTACGGGTTGAACGGCCGCTACGTCATTGTCCCGCTCGGTATCTTGATTGGATTCTTCTTCCCCGTCATCCACTGGTTTTTGAACAGGGCATACCCTCGTCTGAAGGAACTGCCACTCAATACCACATTTATATTTGTCACTTCCGGTCTCCGTTACTACGGGAATACCTCGTGGATATGGTCATCTATTGCTGTGGGCGTCTTCTCCCAGGTGTGGCTCAGGCGCCGGAAGCCTAAGATTTACAACAAGTACAACTATCTTATCGGCGCAGGCTTGGATGGAGGATCGCAGGTGGTAATTTTCGTCCTCTCGTTCGCTGTGTTTGGTGCTAGTGGGCAAGAAAGGCCCTTTCCTGCTTGGTGGGGAGCTCCTAAGGATACCAACCCAGACCATTGTATATAAGAATAAGTTAGGCTCAAGGCATCATTCAACTATCCTCTCCTTACAAAAGCGGCAATGTGATACGTAGTTTGAGTAGGATATCTTTGTATATTCATCACTACTTCGTGCCGTTCACTCGCTAGAGTGTAGAGTAAAATATATTGCAAAGAGAAATTGTCTAGGATCCCCTAAGTTGGAAATAATGATACACTGTGACACTCTACTCATCAGTCAAAGATTTCCTCAACATATCGCACATTCCTCTGCGCATGGAACCACTTTGTCAACTCTGATTTCCCCATCTCATCCTCTTGGCTTGCTTCCCTCTTCATCCGTATCATCGTGTCCCGAACCCCCTCTCCAACAGCCTTGGATCCACAGACAAAGATCTTAGCACCGCCCTTCTCCCAAAGGTCCCAGACCTCCTTGCGATCCTCCCACAGCCGGTCCTGAACGTATTTGCAGCCTTGACTCTCACGTGTAGTAGTGGAACGAGAGTAGACACGTCGGACTTGTACGGCACCAAGGCGCTCCCACTCATCGAGTTCGTCTCGATATAGATTGTCCGTGTCTGGAGACCGACATCCAAAGTAGAGATAGGCCGGGGCGAGTTTCTTGCCTGAGGATAATTGGAGCGCACGATGCTGAATGAAGGCGCGGAATGGGGCAATGCCCGTACCAGCTGCTACAAGAAGGAGCGATGTGGTTTCAGGATCAGATGGGAGGCCGAATGCGGGCGGAGAAGGGCGAACGATGACCTGGATAACATCTAAGGGCTGCAAGTTAGCGAGATACGAGGAAGCGACGCCTATGTGAAGGTTTGAAGCGTTGGAGAGCGAAGGCTCGCGCAAAGTTGAGAAGGTTAGCGTCGCATGGGAGGGCTTGAAGAGCGGCGAGGATGAGATAGAACTGGGCGTTTGTCAGCGTGTGTACTGTTTACAAGGGAGGACGTGGACTTACTACTGTCGGACCCGCATAGGAGGCAGCATCGAAAGGAAGGTCCCGATGGGGATATAGAGGGACTGGAAACGCTCAAGGAGATCGAGTACAGATACTCGCTTGGCACTGGTCTCCTCTACATAGTAGTCGTTGGCAAGGCGAGTCAGACCTTGGATGGTCTTTTCGTCATTGGTGATCTGAATGAGCTTCATAATGTTCTATAGAATCAAAATGGTCAGCTTGAATCACTTGAAACTGTTCAGTAGTAATTGGTGGGCTTACTCTCTTCGTAGCTGGTTGTGACAGCTCTACATAAGAGCTCAAGACATCCTTGGCAGAAACTGACCCTTCCATTGGAAGCGCCACTGGCACATCCGACGTTATGTTGAGATGAGCGTCCCACGAGAGACCTAACACCCGCATTGCCCGCCGCACCGTCTCTTCTGGATTCACGGGCAAAACGGCTAAGTAGTCTCCCGTCTCGTAATTTAGTTCGGAAGGGAGTTCAACTTCGACATGTTTCTTAAGACTGAGTTCGCCGTCCTCATATGCTGTGAGCGTCTCGGTTTTGATCACGGTAGCGAGGCGGACATCCTGATGAAGGGTCGAGTTTCGGGGATGAGATACGGTAGCGCTGACTCCCTGCGGCTCAGGGGCGGAAGTGGTGTTGCCTTGATCGCTGTCGCCATACCGAGCCTTGAGCGCTGGCCAGAGCATATCGTCTTCCCAAGCTTCAAATTCGCCAAAGGTTGCTCCTGTGGAGACGTCTGATGTGCCCAAGCCGACAAGCCTTTCAGCCCCCAAATCAACTAACCTACTGTCGATGAGCTTTGGAATACGCTGGTGAGTATTTACCCAGTCGCTATGCCCGCAGCCAAAGACGGCGTAGGAGACCTTGTCCAGGGGCTTCTTTTCTACGTCTAGGCTCCGGATCCAGGAAACAAACTGCTCTGCATTGTCGGGCGGTTCTCCCTCGAATGACGCCGTGACGATAACTGTGGGGTGATCAGTCGAAAGGGACTCCTTGCCAGTGTCAAGGGAGTCAAGCTTGACAACATGGAATCCATGTCTAGGCGCGTTGGTAGCCGCCTGCTGAGCGAGCGACTTGCATGTGCCGGTATTGGATCCGTATAAGATCGTAAGGGGTCTACCCCTACCCCCACCCGCGGCCGGCCCTGTCTTTGCGGCTTTAGAGTCGCTAGTTCTCGGGCCTGAGCCTCCGAGTCGCTGCTCGAGCGTCACTGGGGTAAGCCCATCACGCAATATTGCCCGCATGGCCAACTTGTCTGGCTTAATGGTTAGTGTCTGTTTGTGCGAGATCTCATACCCAGGCTGGAGCTCAAAGTTGAAATTCTGGAGTAGCATTGCTGTGATAAGTAAGGCTTCCTGCCAAGCAAAAGCTCGCCCAATGCAGGACCGCTTGCCGTTGCCAAATGGCTTCCAGCAGTTGGGAAATTCCCGATTGAGGCGGTTGAAACTGTCATCCAACATACGCTCTGGGATGAATTCGTTGACCGTATCACCATAGACAGCCGGGTCTAGGTGGGCCTTGAAGACAAGATTCATAATCGGCTGGCCCTTCTTGACGAAATACTTGCCGGCTATCATTGTATCTTCCTTCGGCTCCACAGAGAAGGCAGGAATGGTCGAGGTTAGCCTCAGGGTTTCACGGAGGACGGCGTTGATGTAGGGCAGCTTTGAAAGGTGATCAATAGTAATCCGGCCCTTGCCACAAACTGTATCAACCTCCTGCTGTGCCTTTTGAAATGTTTTTGGGTTGTGCAGAATTTGATAAAACGCGTAAGAGAGCATCCCTGACGTGGTTTCATGTCCGGCAACAAGGAACGTAATGAGGTTGTCCAGAATGCTCCCGTCTGTCATCTTCTTCCCGGTTTGGGGATCAACGCCCTTGAGCATGGCAGTAAGTAGGTCATTGTCCCGATCATCTAGGCCACTCTTACGAGCGTCCAGTACATCTTGTGCCGTTCGACGCAGCGTATCAATGTTCCTAGACAGAGTCTTGTCGCGTTTGCGATAGAAGAAGTTTGGTAAAAATCTTGTGTCTATTTCGCCGCACTCGTAAAGGAAGTCAGCCATAGCCTGGATAAATGGATGCATCTCCTGTGAGTAGAAGCTGTTGAAGCGGAACCCCATGGAGCACAAGGCAATAGTATCAAGTGTTAGGCGAGTGAAGTCTTGGGTGGGCTTGACCCATTCTCTAGGTCCAGCACGGGCCCATTTCAACGTGAGCTGCTTTGCAACATCGTACATCTCATCGTACATGCCACGAATCTTGAGGGGTCCAAAGTTCGGTATGAGAACCCTATGTGCGATACCCCAGGGTTCTTCTCCATCTCGGGCCTTTTTACAACATTTATCAGCTTCAAATACCGCTCGAGGCCGGCATGCCTCTCTCTTCCAAGAAGTAATCGACTTACAGTAAAGAGACCGTTATGTACACCTAACCGAATGGACTGAGCAAATGACACACTGTCAATATAAATCCGTCGAGATTAGTGGGCTATGATTTGATTTGGGGGCACTCAGACCTCTAAAGGCGGAGCGATACACTTCTTGAATCGCTTCTCGTCACATGCTTCATTGATCAGGGCTTGCGTGCAGAGTACGACAATCTGAATTCCTGGAAAACGTAGTCGATAAATCTCTCCTGTTTTCGACCATGCTATCAGTAATCTAGCGGGCAGAAGCCATCGATGGGATCACTACACGTACCGCATTGATCAGCAATATCCAGAAAGGAGCCCAGCTGGAATGTCGGGCTAATTTGGAAGACATGGCCAACAAATGGGTAGGCTCGAGGCTCAGGGATCTCATCGGTAGCAGTCATTCTAATTTGATGATGTGTAGAGTGCAATAAGGGCGTTGAGTGTTTAGAAAATGAGACGCCTCATTATCCTCTTCTGCGAGTTGTGTCAAGGTGCGAAGGTAGAATGTCTTTCTACGTTTGTGACATTCCCTACCTGTACTGTACGTAATATTAGGCCGGTGAGGGCAAGGGGGCTTGATGTATGTTCACCAGCCATTTATGAACCCCGGAAAGATGATGTGACCCGATGGCTGTATGCGCTTATCCTGCCTCCAACCAACGTCGGGTTGTTGCTTATGATTAGAAAAACCCGAGGTGACACGCTGGCTCGGAAGAGTCTACTACCTCACCCCTAGCCTAACGGACCGGAAGACCCTCTAGCGAATCATATCACTTGCTTCGGATAGAGTACATGTAGAATGAGAACTGTTAGCATAGAAACTGGAGCATTTCTCTGTACTGCGATCCTAAAAGCTTGAAAACCGGCCTTGGCCAAGAGCCTGGAGAGACACAAATACGGACCCCTGGTCCTTGTTCACTGTATTGGAGTATCCAATCAGCAGCCGTCAGACGTATATAGGGCGCACCAACGCGATAATGTTGTCGGTCGGTGTTTTCTTCCCCCTTCGGCAAAATATGGCAGTCCGGACCAACAGACCATCAGCAATGGTGGGGGCAAGCAGCCTCTTGTTTCAACTGTGTTAATATTTCCGTCTTAAGCAGTTTCGTGCGTGATAATATCGCCAAATCTGGAAGCATGTTGCGCCCCTTGCTTAACATATGGCACGGTCTGATATCCTCGCTGCCATAGACAAACACACGCTTTATCACTATCACAGATTCCAACATATACTAGGCAAATAATGGCATTGGGGTAAGAAGCAACACAGAGCTAGACCCTAAGCACGTGGGAGGCCCAGCCGTCAAACTTCAAGCTTCGTGCACAAGTTATGCGGATCCCCCTTTCACTATCTTCGCAGTACAACCTTGCAGCTCTCAATGGTCCGCCAAAATCACGTACAAATGGCATGTTTTCGACCTTTCCGCGGATGTTCTGATTCGTTCCCTGGCAACGGCTCAAGGGGGATGTAAGCCCCCAGAATTTCAATAGTGAACAACTACTTCATGTTTAGAAGTCCCAAAGCAGCGGAACACGTCGAATAACCCAAACCTCAACATCCCGAGAAATCCTTTCCAACACCTCAAAGAATTGCCCATCTTCAAACCAGTTATCCACATCAAAAATGTTGATACGCCGCAGTTGTGGTAGGCTAGCAGAAAATGACATGTCTTGAACTAATCCGAGAATCCCTTGGTCCGACCACCAATAACTTGGGTTCCATGCAAGTGCATCATTGAGCAACATTACGCATGAGAGAGAAATCGTCTTAATGCCACTTGGGATGCAGTGGTCCAGAGGCTGAGGTTGATGCCCAGACCCAGTAAGACATATCAACGGCACCTCGAGCTCGGTGATCCGATTGAATTCCCTAAGCCCGCTGAATGATCCCATGACCTTCATTTTCACTTTACCTCCATACTCCTTGTTCGTGCGGATGGTGATCCTGAGCTGTAGACTTTCTAAGGTATCTTTCACATGTGAGAGAGCTGTAATGATCTCGTCAAGGTCAAGACTTTTCGTCACAGGATCAGTCGTTCTAGCCGCATACTCCCAGGCCCAGGCAAGTGACTTCAGGTTCTTAGTCAGGGCCAGTATTTCACACATGGTGGCAGCATTAGATCCTTCTATAACTAGGACAGTCAGGTTGCGAAGGTCGGGCTTACCCAGCACCTGTTTGCAAGTCTCCCGGTCGAGACTACCCATATGACATGCCAAGTGCGTGACTGTGGGCATGTGAAAGAGGCACATCCCCTCCTCGAACCGAGTCAACAAAGGGTAACTCCAAGAATCATAACCTCGAAGATAAGTGACGAGATTCAGGCGCTCAAATTTCGGTAGCTGGCCGCTTAGTTTCAAATCAAGGACTGGACCAATGAGGTCGGGAAAGCGGATATAACGACCAGTGACGGTGAGGCGACGTATTTTGGTTGTATGTGCGATCAGTATGGCTGCAAACGCGTCCATTCGGCCTTTCTTAAGCTCACGCGTCCAGCACTCGGTCAGTGGTGTGTTTAGCGTTTGAACGACGTTCACATATATAACCCGCGGAGCTCCCAACAATGGCACCAAGTACTTCTCCCCAGCACGATTGCTTCCATCTATTGTGAGGGCCTTGATCCAGTCAAAACGTTCGGGTCGCCGGAAAAGCGTATCCAGGAGAGCGATGATCCGAGGCCGTTGATTATGATCCCATTTGAAAGTGATGTCAGAGTAGAGCGCATACTCTGCAATAGGGTGGAAATTTTTATTGACCAGACAAAGATTGGCCAGGTCAGGAGTTTCGAGGCAACTGAAAATCTGGGTGACGATTTCAGGCGGAGTGTTAGATAGTGGCATTCTTTTCTGTCTCGGGACACTGCAAGTCCGTGGGGCCGTGGGCAGCTCCGCCGATGAGACAAGAGTGAAATACCTTTAAGGTAGGTAGAGAAAGATAAGTTACTGTGAGGAGAAGGGCCGTGTGAAGTTGTAAAGTCTTTGGCTAAGTGGGGGGCACAGCGATGAAATAACGAATCGAGAGTGGACAATATCCAAAGTATTTATCGCCTGCTAAGTGACTCATCGGTACATATGAAGGTTTACAGAGTTTTTCTTCAACCTCAGGTGACTGTAGCCTTGGGCTTGTAAAGTTTAATTTTTGCCTTTCGTACCTTATTTTGTTGCAGTGTGGCAAGGGGCGTTTTCAGTATGTAGGTAGCATTGAATATCAATACAATATCAATACAATATCAATATAATGTTGAAACAAATAATTCAGTAATAAAGATAATATCGAGCCAAACATGAAAGCCTAATCTACTATCAACCTATAATCTCTAGAAACATCCAAGGCAGGTCTATCGCTCTCTCAATTTACGAGGAAAGCGTAGGTCTTGGAAATCAATCCCCATCTTTTCTTTAGGACGTTATCAGTATTGCGTAGAGGATCAAGTGTTCAAGCTCAATTGCGAATTCTAGATGTCCCAAGTGCCATGATAATATCCAATGCGATAAATATATCTTTCAGACCTATCAGAATATGGCCATTGTGGCAACTTCTCACTTCCAGTTCGCACCTGTCTCCTCCCCAAACCGCCCGCAAGCAGAGACAATCTGAACTCAGTACCCATTCCTCTTGATACCACTTAACACATATTTGCCTTCCCAGTTACCTTAGTTACAGTACTACTTTATCAGATCCGGCTCAGCTCGGGGTGCCTCTTCTGCCACGCCCTTCATTTAGCATAGCTTCCACCACCTCGGGGTCCAGCTGCGTGCCACCAGGACCAGTGTGCCGGCTACTTTCTTCAAGATGCGCTCGCAGGGCCTGTCGGTTCGCATCCGGTGCCCTTGATTCACAGATGGGACAAGTATAGCTCAGATCCATTGCGAATGACTCCCACCGCTCTGTCATTGCTCGATTTCGTCGAATCTTGACGACTTCTTTTGCAATATCCTCGATCATGTTGATGGTATCTGCCTGAGAAAGGTAGGTTTCAGTCAGCTCTTGGATCGATCGCAGGGTTTCCTCTCCAGATTTTGCTGGCCGCCACTCGTCAAGCGAGATATTCGCCAGGTTGTTTTCCACATTGAGTCGATATCGTTTCTTCAGTCCAATTGCATCAGAATGGCTATTCCATCCATTCGTCCCATCATCCCCCTCACAATCTGTCATATGCTTACTCCAGTACCGTCCAATTTCCGAGTACTTCTTGAATCCCTGCTTGCGCCAGACGTTATCAATTGTCAGAGCGCGTCTTAGAGCCGGCCTGACATCCTCTGACGCATGATTCCGTGCGGTTTGACTCTGCTCGGTGGCCTGTTTTAGGCCTGTCCCAAGGCTTACAAAGATAGAAGGCACCGTTTCGTGAAGGCCATGGATTTCCCGCAGTGCGACTAGGGAGGGGTTATTGGCTACCATCCCTCCGTCCCAGAATTTCCGATCGTCAATCTTGATTGACTCAAAATACCGTGGTGCAGCAGTTGTGGCGCGAGCAACCTGCCAGATTGGTACGAATTTATCCCCAGGGTTCCAAGGCCTCCAACCATTAGGCCCTTGGCTCCGGAGCTTGGATTTGAACTGGTAGCTTCTCCAAATATAGCCGCTACTGACAGTTCCCTTCTTGCCGCTATTGACAGTTCCCTTCTTGCCGTTATTGTCAGTTCCCTTCTTGACGCTCCAAGATATAACCATTCTATATGGATACTAGAATTAGCCTCTTATTGTCAGGAATGGTTATCAGATATAGTCAACTCATACGTCCTGGTCCGATCTTCTCTGTCTTCAAAGGATTCAGTCACTGCTGCGTGCTCGCCCTGTTGAAGCCTTTCGAGCACGACCTTCTGAAATGCCTCTCTTGTTTTGCGGCTTGAATATTTAGCTCGAGGAAACCAAAACAGTGAGCGCTCATGCCACCATCTTGGCTTCCCAAATATATCATTCCCAAAGGCCTTATATTGGTCGAGTGCTTGGTCGACAGACATCCGTAATCTTCCAAGCATGATACTGCTGAGACTATGCAACGGTGTGAGTCACCAAATCAAAGGTAAATTGGACTGCCCACTTACCCGCCAGTAGATGTCCCTGCCAAATAATCGAAGTAGTGACACGGGAGAAAAGCATCCAGCTGCCTAGTCTCTTCACTTTGTTGATTCGCCGCTTGGCAGCTAGTGTCCATCCAGGGATAAGACATACTTGAAGCCACGGGGTATTCAGCATAGGAGGTTTCAATCCTTCGAATCACAGTCATGATTCTCTTCAGAATCAAGAGACTCGAGTACCCTCGAATGCCGCCCCCATCTAAGGTCATGAGAATTGGTCAGTTCTGTCTCAAGACGGGGGCTCCATAAGGAAGCTTACCAAAAGATAAAACACTTTTTTGAGACCATGGACCCTCTTCATCAGAGCAATGTCTATATCCACGGAATGGTCCGTTGGTTCTAACCAGATCATAACCCCCGCTTAGGGCTGCGGCCTCCTGAGCTTCATTTGTACTAGAAGTCGCCATCACCTTCAGTTACTTCCGTGGCCATCCAGGGATATCACATAGATGTCTTGCTCTCAGAAGAAGAATGCTTTATTAGGACTCGAATTTGAGATCGCTACGAGGATGTGAAAAGGGTTCATGTGTTGGGCATTTTGTAGGCAGAATAGCCAGCCTCATTTCATCTGCAAGCAGCCATGCAAGGCTCTAGAGAATGCGAACCGTTCTACGCAATGAACTAAGCCTCAGCGGCCGCTTCAGTTTACCCCTGTCCTTTGAAACATTTCAGCCGTTTCTCCATGGGTTTGCCTGCAGAGACGATAGCTGAGGTCAATAATATAGAGTAAGCCAATTAGTATTCCAGCAGCAGGACAAAAGAAGGATGGATGGGCCACCTTGGCAAAATCCTCATTCACTCAATCTGAAAGGTAAGATCGACATCATGATCAGCCCTCACCGTAGAATTCCGCCCTCAAGTACGTAATCCTAACTTTCAATTGCGATACCTCACAAAGTATGCATACAGACAATCGCAGGAGCTTGACCTAGATCCTAAAGGAGTTGTGGCGCTTGCGCAGCCTTATCGTGCGGAAGGCTTCAGGTGACCATACCATCCACCACGTTCGCTGAACCGCCAAAATTCCCTCATGCACCTAAGATCAGCCACACCGTCGTTTCTGAGGTGAGATGCGTTCAGCTGAACAAAATGAGACATTACCATGCCGCGAGATTGCAGTTTGTGGAGGCGTTGTGCGGGTGGAAAGGCGCAGCCGACGTAGAGGCTGTGAAATATTTACGACAAGCCTCATGGTCATTATATGACCAACTACTTGCATCTTCTCAAGATGAAGATGAGATAACCTAGTGGGGGGTAAGCTGAGTGTTGATCACATGTGTCACGCATTAATGACGCCATTACAAGGCAAGGCGATCACCACTTCGAATATGGTGTGATGAGATAGATCTTGTTGGACTTGAACAAAATTCAATCTGAAATTAGAAGACCTCATCGTGGTCAAATGCATTCTGTCTACTATCTATCGCCATTTTCCCTTGCTCATCAGAAGTGCGTCTCGACCATTTTCAACTAGTAACAACATAAAGCGTAGATTCATGCCCGAGGTACCTATTGAGATTGTATCTAACGCCCAGACTGAGAAGATTAATTGTTGCTATATACTCCTCGTCCCGCTTCGATCCTTTGTCTGCACATGGTAGATAAACGGGCATGTTGTTCGTCCAGCGAGGTGTTTTCATGGATTCGCATTGCCCGACTTATAACGGAAGGGTTCAGTAACTGGATTTTTTATGCGAGAGCAGGGAACTTAATTTTTGATACTTACGGTGTCCAACCTTCTTCGGGTCTACAGACGTGAGGTCGTCCGTCTTCTTGTAAAGCACAGCGGCTAGAGCCTTGCCCATCCTAACAATTCTGAATTCTGGGAGCTGATCCGAAGTTCGAAAACGCTGTATTGAAAGGGCGGCACAAAATGTTTATTGCAAAGATGGCAATCGAGCTGAAGACCGTAGAGTGGAGGTCGCAGAATCGTATCTATAGGGGGGGACTGACACTAAAAGGGAGAAAGTAAACGTCAGATCATGATGGTGGTGTCATGGGACCTATCGGGAAGAACTAATGTACTCAGCTCATGCAGGAAGAAATCAGCAATCTTCTGAGGCTGCAGGAATAAAAAGGTCGCAAGGCAGATTTTAGAACGCCACAACGCAGCGTGCATGACGCACACTCGTTAGGCTTACTGTCAATTTTGATGCACGTGGCACCACGATCGGGATTTTCACTAGTGAAAAAGGTCTATTAGTTTAGACGAATTACCAAATGTGATAACACTGCCTGAAAGGCTCCGTTTGAAAGTCTTGCCGCCCAATATAGCCTTGGATCCCCTTCTGACAAGTCATGGTAAGACTTTAGGTGTAAAGACTGATCATATGATAACATCACCGCCATTCAGCACACCGCAAGGCTTTCGTAGGAGTGCTTAGGCCGCCTGCAGGGGCCCAAAAAAAACCTGACTATCGCTTAGCTCAAGGTCGCTTCTTGAGACAAAAATCCGTCATCGCGCATTTTCTACCCCTATCTTGATAACAAGCAATTATATGATTCGTCCTTGGCTTAGTATTAATAATAAATAGACTTGAGCGGAAGAGTTCCGGCATACTTCCAATATTCTCGCTTCCAGGCCAGTTAGATGGTTCCATAGTTGGCTTTCAGTCTTCAATTTTAGGTACCAACATCAGAGCCTTACTATCCATCACCACATCATGTCATTCAACATTATTCTAACTACAAACACTTCTGTCACTCAGCTGGGGCCATTGACGACTTCACCTAGGTGCTTGATCTCCTTGAAGCACGCTCTTGACATCTTGTGTTGCGAATCGCCCGTCGATATCCTGCGCCCAATTCTCTAGTCGCAAAGCCTGAAGTCGCTCAGTAATATCCAAGTCAGGTCTATAATTTTCTTACTCTATGAGGATAGCAGGAGTCTTGACAGATCATTCAACCTCTCGAGCACTTCATCATATGTTTCAAAAAGGGTCGAGCGACGAGGCTAGGTCGAAGCAATTTATGCTCCATGTGCCCTGATCTAATGAATATCCAATATAAAAGACGTATATTTTTGGAACTGATGAAAACATGCTCCCATTCTACGCTGCTATGTAGAGGCTCACAATGAGTATCTCATTGCCACCACTGCACCTCTTCGGAATACAAAGCGTCTAGTCATGTTGTCTAGAGCTCCCGATAGTCCTATGATCATGATTCGTCATTTGAATTTGACTTGCAATGCAGTGCTTCTTCTCTCCGCCGGTTCTCAACGTTCAGGCTTATTCATTAAGCGAGTTCATCAGTGGCAACAACATCCTTTTCCGTCTGTGAAGTCTAATACTTCTTGGGAATTTGCGAGCGCTTCTTGACCGTTGATTTCCTAATTGTCTTGGCAAACGTGTTTGGAAAGTAGATATAGACTCTTGCTCTTTAAGGATAGAAATCCATAGCGCCAAATCGACAGTCACCTTCCCGATCAGACTAATTCATCCTTTCGGAATCGCACGGCTTCCTGCCTACCTTCTTGATCACACGGCTTTGGTCTCTTCCTGTTATTTTATCACTCTAGTTTCATTCATTTATTTACAAGAAAACATTCTGGACCCGACATTGAGATTAGGTGGAAGCATCTTCAAAGACGAAGGATAAAGTTCAACACCATAACAAATGTCACATGCGCACACAAGAAGCATCACCAGCAGCCTCAAAATGCTTATGACATAATTAGCTTACCATCCGTTGCTGCTTGAAGGACCATAATTATTAATTGCATCGCCAGACCATTGTATGGCGACATCAGAAGATAAAATCCCGCCACGGTATTGGTCACCAACCCCGCAGTTATCGATGTCGTGATCGAGCATTTATTTGTCATCTCCCACTGCTTACAATGCGACATCTGCCATGAGGACCGGCATACCCGGAGCTCCGTTCTGAACCGGATATAAAGAAGGGCCCATCATTCATCACATACTATTCATTATAAGCAGAAGTAAACCGGGACAGCACTGACATATCCAAATAAAAATGTCTGAATCCAAGAAGACTCTGCATTTGACAGCCTTCATGCGGCCGGTGAGCCTGCATACAGGAGCATGGAGATATCCCGGGTCTTATCCAGACGCCAATTTCAACCTCAACCACCTGAAGTCCTTTATTCAGAAACTTGAGAAGGCCAAGTTTGACGCCTTCTTCATGGCTGACCACCTGGCGGTCCTGAACATGCCTGTTGAGGCCTTAAAGAGAAGCCACACAGTTACGTCTTTCGAGCCTTTCACTCTCCTCTCCGCCTTGTCGGTTGTTACCGAGAGGATCGGCCTAGCTGCAACTGCATCAACCACATACGATGAGCCATACCATATTGCCCGCCGCTTCGCATCGCTTGACCACTTGAGTAATGGCCGCGCGGCCTGGAATATTGTCACAACAGGAAACCCAGAGTCTTCCAAAAACTTTGGCCGCGATGAGCACATGGAGCACAGTGATCGCTACAAACGAGCCAGGGAGTTCTACAATGTTGTGACCGGCTTATGGGACAGTTTTGCCGACGACGCATTCGTTCGCGACGTCGACAGCGGCATTTACTTTGACCCGGAGAAACTTCATACTCTTGACCACGAGGGTGACGAGCTCAAAGTGAAGGGTCCTCTCAACATCGCACGCCCAGTTCAGGGCTGGCCTGTCATTGTCCAGGCAGGACAGTCTGAGCCGGGAAAACAACTTGCCTCGGAAACGGCCGAGGTTGTCTTTTGTGCGCCGCGGGATTTGGAGTCTGCCAAGTTGTTTTATGCGGATGTCAAGGGTCGCACTGCCGCCGCTGGCCGAAATCCAAACCACATCAAGATTCTCCCTGCGGCACTGATTGTGATTGGCGATACCGTAGAGGATGCAAAGAACAAGCGCCTAAAATTGGATACATTCGTGCATTACGA